AAATTAAAAAAAAATAATAAAATGATTGTAAAAATTCCTTTACACAAACTGTGGGTTCAGCCGACATTAAAAAAAAAAAACAAATCGTCATTTTTTTTATGACATGGGGGCAAACGAGCGACGTGAACACCGAGATGATCAACGACACCCATAGGCATCTGCAACACCAGAGGAATGGTGAAGAAAGGAAATGGTGGTCATCCGTATCCTTTTTAGTAAATAATAGACAACAATATATTTTTAACATAAGTTAATTCTAAACAAAGACACATCCTAATTTTCCAAACGAGTATATCATGTATCGTTTGCAAGTTGATTGCGTGTTAAAACAATTCCTAATAAGTTTAATGCCCCACTGACACCGGAACTGCAGCTACACGTTATCCAACTTCTTCACCCGTGAACGGTGATTCAATTCTTAAACCCTTTTTCCTCTAACTAATAATCCGAATAATTCAGCCAACAATGTGCGTACCGTTTTAACTACAACTAGTGCCAAAGTCGCGCTGCTATTTGCTTAGTGAAAATGTTGTTAACCTCATAAAATCTATTCTCTCTACCAATAGGTACTGATATGTTTGTTTATGTATTATACAAAAGGTTATTCTTTATAATATAAGTATGCATGTATTATATTAACTAGCTGTCGTCCACGAGTCCATCGACGCGTATTAAAAAAACTTTACAAGTAGCCTTGTTCTTACAGTACTATGTTTTATACCAAATTTCATCGAGATCTGTAGAGTTGTTCTGGAGATACCTTCAAACAAACATCCATCCATCTAAATATTCGCATTTATAATATCTTAATTATTAATAATTAATTAAATACGAAATAAGATAATAAAATAAAGATTTAAAAAAAACCTTCTTCTATCATCATCATCATCAGCTCAGTATATGTCCCCACCGAGGGGCTCGGAGCCAACCCTAAGTTAAGGGTGATTAGGCCATAGTCTTCTATCATACTTGAAAAAATATATAAATTATTATAAATGGTAACATAATCTATGTACATCATACGAATCATTGTATTTACATATGCAAAAATATCTAATTTCACATGAGATATATTTTACGCGGTTACTCTTTTGATTATTTTTTTATCCATTGTAACTGTAACCTTAACTATTTGAATAATATTAAATAATTTGCTGTATAATTCGATTCGCATATCCCGAAGTCTTCAACAAATCAATCGTACATATTGATTTATATTACAACTATAGTTACATATCTGAGATTTAATCTGTGGCTAATAGTAACATGTAGATATCAAAGTTATAGACAGAACAGTAAGTCGTAACTAAAGAAATTACTTAACTAAGTTATGTAAAATAACTTACCTCCAATCAGACATAGTGCCAGAAAGATAGCTAAAAGCAAATGATACTTCGACATCTTTAAGTTAATAACTTAGCACTTAGAACATGTTTGTAACACGGGCGCGTGTGTACGCTGCGCCTTTCACTCGCGGTCTGAAGCCAGACGTCCCTCTGGAGAGGGGCGCCCTCCCTTCAGACCCATCCCTCCAACTCCCCCGGTATAGGGGATGAAAGGCATGTACTGTACTTGAAATTATTGACTATTGTTACTTAGTCCACAATTAATTTCTACATTGAGCTATAATAAAGTATTTTATTACTTAATATTGTTAACTTACGTTAATTAAATAAAATTCCTTCGATAATATATTGTTATACCAACGCCTATCAAATATTAATAGCAATAACTCATAAGCTTAAATTTTATAGAAACTAAACATGCGTTAAAATAAAAAGGCGCATAGTTTTTTTTTCTAATTTTAATTTTAAAATAATATTTACCTTAAAGACAAGTTGTAAAAAAATAGAATGTAAATTAGATATAAAAAAAAACTTGTTAATAAGTGAACAAGATGAACAGACTCGTTCCTATTTGCTTAGCTACATAGATTTATAACCTATACCTAATTGGGAGCACAAAAGTAAGGCGAAATAAAGGTGAACAGAGACCTTTTGCTAAAGAAAATTGACAATACAAAATAACATTTGCAATATTTACGCCAGATTACTTAGATCAAACTTGTATGTAACACTCCATTTACATGTATTAAAAAAAAATAATAGCTTATATGTTCTTTTAGACTATGTTCTATATCTATGCTAAATTTCATCAAGATCCGTTGAACCATTCCGGAGATATCTTGCCAGAAAAATCCATCCATTTATCTTAACTTTTGCATTTATCATATTAGTAATATGTATTTATGGAGTAATATGACATTTTCATTGATTTGACAGTTTAAAAGACTTGAGTTTTTAAAGGGAACTTGATCATTATTTCCGCTACATGCATAACTAATAGGTTGAATCGTGATATTAAAAAAACACAATCAAAATAAAGATTCATGAGCAAACAAATCGATTTAAGCGTGAAACCGACTAACAAATTGTTCATGAATGTTTGTTGTTTGTGTTTGAATTGTATATACATGCGTTTTCCAATTTGTTATATATCTTTAAAATACTTAGTTAAAAAATAGGACTAAACAAAAAACATAATTATTTATCTTACTATAATTATAAATGCGAATGTTTAGATGGATGTTTGTTTGAAGGCATCTTCAGAACGGCTGCATGAATCTCAATGAAATTTTTGCATAAATGTAAAACATAGCCTGGAAGATCACATTGACTATTAAGACGCTGCGTTATGAACTATCGCGTTTTTAAGGGGTTGAAGGAGGTCGTAATCGTCCGTAAAATAACGTATCTACCGTTCGACCAGAATTTAGATATGATAGATATGTATTAAATAAAGCATTTAGATTTCTTAAATTCATCGTAGATTTGCAGATGCACAGTTTTTCCTAACGTAGAAGGCACATTTCCAAAAAAATAATTTATCGAGAAAATTGCATCCGATAAAAATTCTGTTCGACCAGAATCTAGTTAAAGCAATGAAGTTACACATACTAAAATATGACTAACCAAGTCTTTTTAGATGTCTTGTTCTACGCTTTTTAGTAAGCGTATTTTGCGTCTTACAGGGCCTTAATTAAGTTTCTTTTAATTCGGCGCGGACAGAGTCGCAGGCGACAGCTAATCTAAAGATGAATACTACACATTATAAAAAAATCCATTCTTTTACCTTACAATTTAAATTTGTTTTATTTCCAGAACATTCTAAACAGTCAAATTCACTCGAATCACGAACATCTTTAAAACAGAATACAAAAATATACTAATTAAAATAATTGGCGAAACGAAACGTAACTAATATAAAGCTAGGAACCGTTTACTTCAAAACGGCATGTTTATTATTATAGCTGTTTTACAAAACGTTAGATTTTAATTTATTTTATTTTATTTTACTAATGATCGAAGTTTAAAGGTTATAAAAGGTATGTATTCATTTGTAACTTTTTATCACGTAATTTCATTTATCTATTTTCAATATAACCATCTCTTTCATTGTCTATGAAAAAGACAGAGATAGCAAATTTGTTTTCTTATAATTGTCAAGACATTTAAATTAACGGCCAGTCCACCTTCGAAAATGTATGGAACTGGCACGCACCACAAAGTTTGTCTAACCCCTCAGGTAGCAGACTTGTGGAGCAATTGAGATTATTGGTTTTCTTAACAAACAACATAACTCACGCCCGTAACCAAGATTGGTAGACAGAGACCACATACCTCCATTTGGCGCGATCATCTACGCATACATGCACCTCGGTATCAAGCGCTCTTCATACATTTCTCGAGTATTTCATTAATATGGTATAACCGGTTTCTGACACATAAATCTTTATATATATAATTCTTCTGTGAGTGTGTATGTCACTGAACTTCCCTCAAACGACTGGACCGATTTTTATGAAATTTTTTTTTTTTTGTTCAAAGGGATCTGGGAATGGTTTAGATTCATAATTTTCATCAAATATTAACTTCATATTAATTTATTTAAATTAAAGACGTGTAGACAGGACAACGTCTGTCGGGTCCGCTATCTCTCTATAAAATATATCGTCATCCCTGTCTCTGATCTTTGATATAACAGAGACAACGATATGTTTTAAACGTGGATTTTGCTCTCAGAAACCCACGGTAAGCCCGTCTGGGACGACCCCTACCGGCACTGATGCTCATTTTGGTGCTATTTCCTTTTGTTAATCTCTTTTCGTATAACCTTTCAAAAGATGGAAGAGTCCATACTGCTGATACTACGAAGGGAAAATGATGATGATTTTTTTTGTTTCAGATCACAGATGGCGTTAATTAAACTTTTTATATTACTAACATTGTTCGTATTAGTGTCAAGTTGGCATACGTATAGACGGATTCCTTTGCCTAAGCTGAAAGAAGAACCGGAAGTGAAGAGAATTCATTGTGACCAGACCAATGATTATTGTGGCAGTATTCCTATACCACAGAGGAGAGACTATTGGATCCCATTTCCAGGGTAGTGACATTTTAGCTTGTGTTTACTTTAAATTTTAGAACACGTATTTTTTTCTTAATGTTATTTTGAATAAAGAATTTTATTGTTCGAATTTCAAATTGTTTTATTTTTTATGCCTTGTTTACATTATGCCAGTAAAAGACAGCAGCGATGTCCAACCATGGTCTGTTTTGTATCACTGGCGCCAGGTGTTTACATGCCAATAGTATTCCAGCGCGGATTTTAAGGGCTACTGTCTTACTGTACTGGCAGAATGTAAACTAGGCATTGTTTTCATTTTAATTTTGGAATGACAAACCTGAAATTCGACGTATTTTTAAATATTGCTTATAATAAGACGACTAAGTAATATTATCTTTTTTTATATTAACAATATTTTATAATTATCGCTTGTTTTTTTTGTATTTCAAAAATACCATTCTTTATTTATATCTCGTTTAAATTAAAATTTTTAATTTTAGATAAATTTAATTTTCTATGGTTTAACGTCGTAAAAATAATTTTCAATTATTTTTTTTGGTACGCATCAATTTTATTTACATTATAAATAACGAAAGAAATTAAATCATTCATTCGTCTTCCAGAAACGGTCTAAACGAGTAAGTTAACAAAATATAATTTTCAAAACTCTCATTTTTTTAATATTACAATTATTAATCGTAGGTTTCTTAGACCAAAATTCCAATTTGGTCATATTATCACTGTTTTTAAAGACACAGGGATATATGTTTTAATACAATAATTTTGAGTAATTTTCGTCTCAGAAACCAACGGTAAATAACTCAATATGCTAACGCAATAGGTGCTATGCTATGCTATGTCAGAAAGAAAAAGCCAAAAGATCTTGACAGAGCGGCTTTAGTGAGCTATCATAATTTAGTTTAACTTACAAGTACGAAAGATATTTGTCGATCTACACGTCTGTTACAAATGACGTAATCTCTGTTTCTAACTGTCTAAAGAAAACGTTATGTCATACCTATCATGTTTATGTACACTAAGGGTATCCCTTAGTGACTGAGTAAGGTATAATATAACTATGCCTTAATATAAATAATATCTTATTCTCAGACAGCAATGGCAGCCCTGAAGCTTTTTGTCCTTGTCGCGTTGATTGGAGCTGTGATGTCCGAGGAATGGCTCTCCAGTCGTCGCCGGCTGGCCCCTAAGGAACCTGCCGCAACCGAAGATCCCAACTTCAAAGAGGTTAAGGTTGAACCATGCGATGTTGAAAAGAACAACTTCTGCGGCAGCCTGCCTACTGCACCCGTCCTCAAGCAGGGCGAAGGATTCTACTACCCCGGCTAATAACGACCAAGATATGAGGAAATTGTTTAAAAAATAAATAAAATTTCCCATATATAAAGATATTTTAATATTTATTGAATGAATGTGTCTCCTTCCCTGGTGTCATACGACCACAAAGAAGACAGGTCAAGTGACAATCGTTCTGCGTTTGGTGCTAGTGCGAGACCAATTTTAGTCTCTTTTCCCTTCCCACCTTTTCCTTATAAGGAAAGGATGAGAAGGGGAAGTGTTGACAAACGTGGATGCATAAAGAGTTGAAATATCGTGTGTCTGTGCGTCCTCTTCTCTTATCCAATTGCTACCTTAAAATATTTAAAAAAAACTTCAATATATTTAATGAATGAGGTATATAAGGTCGGCACTTTGTCTCTGGATCTCTTGATATTAATTTCTATGGATACACGGTGGACAGGTCGCTCTGACATAAAAACGCTTAAGTTACTTTCTGAATTAATATACAAAGGTCCTATATTACTACTTATTAATATTAACATTAGTTCGGTTTCCAATACTGTTACTGTCAGCTCAAATGACGAAAATCAAATAGGCACAAAAAATACGGCTTTATAGCCTATCCGGTGAACAAGTCAGTTGCGCTTGAGAAACGCGCCTTTTGAGGTTCCTGGCAGTTAATTCTATCTCTATTCCATCTCTATATTCTATCCAGGACCTACAGATTGCAAATCAAGTGCTTGACCCCTAAGCCACCAACGCATTCAATGGAATTAAATGGAAAGAACTACCTGGAATATCAAATTGCTTTTACACTGATATAACAACGGCTAAACAATCACGTATATTCGTTCGGTGACGGCACCGACTTGTTTCGAGCCCATCGGGGGCCCTTCATCAGGATGAGTGGTACTGGTATCATTTCGCGGACGCGGCCCGTCGCTTACTGCGCCTGCGCTCTTAGGGCGCGTCTTGGGGGGGCGGGGGGTCACGGGATGCGCCGGCGTGGTCGACGAAGTTGATGCCAAAGCGTCGGTGGTGTTGTTGTTCAAGTTTCGGAAATAATACCAGTATCACTCATGCTGATGAAGGGCCCCCGATGGGCTCGAAACTAGTCGGTGCCGCCACCGGACGAATATATATACGTGAGTGTTTAGCCGTTTTTATATCAGTTTAGTATAATGTCTCACGAAAGTTTGAATAATCAATTTGCTTTTGTTATTAATCTCTATTTTATAATAACTTTTTAAAACTCGAATTAAACTATCATATTTTTTGTGATTGAGTAGTCTTCTAGTCTAGCTTCCCCAGACGTGTCCGGCCACAGATTACACATCGGCTAAACCTCGTTTAAGAGTAACTAAGCTCAAGGGCTCCCTCAGGAACCTCGGGTCGGGATGTTACTTCGTTATTATTACCGGATTGAAACTCTACCGTGTTCCGATTAAATTACTTACTAAAAACGTTGCTTAGTTTGTATTTTGCTCAAAATTCACATTGGTATAATCAAAGATTTCAATCTTTTTCTTTATATTTTTTTATTAAAATCACAATTTCTTTAACTTTATAGTTCTCTCACAGATCTATCTAGTCATAAATAATACAAATACTTGACTTCTAATTTCTTTTAATAAACTGACATACACAAGGTCATGTTTTTGTGCGTAAGATTTTATGTATACATAAATATGTTGGTTTGTGTGTAAGTTCCATTGTGACTAGAAGATTAAAAGATTTTGGCATCTGCTCATTCTTACGATTTGTATTCCGTCCCTAATCGTCATAAAGATACAGTTAATGGCAGTGGCGTTAGGGCAGGGCGAGGGGTTATCGCCCAGGGCGCTAGTCATAAGGGTACGCCAAAGTCGGATTTAAAGGGGCGCCTGCCGACCCCAAAGATAATCCTATATATGGAAGATTTCCCTGATACCAAAAAAGTAGGCACCGCAAAAATCTCGCCCAGGACGCATAAAACTAAAACCAGGCCTGGTTATTATGGTGATTGGGTTTTAAAATTAATAAGAACGGTATTTTATTTATCGTTTTTTATTCAGTTCTAAATGTGGTGGTGTGATATTGCCATCGTTGCAGTTGACTGAGTTATCGTTGCAGGGGGATCTCTGTACGTTGGTGGGTTGATTAGCTACCTGGTTTTGTAGCAATCCACTTCGTCTCGTATAATCGTGGTCGCAAACGACAGCTCCAATCACAGCTAAGATCACCAACAGTTTTAACAGCGCCATCTCTGTATCCTAATGAAAAATATAAATGTCAGTTATTTAAATTTTAAATTTGGAACGCAAATTCAAAATTTAAAAGTTCTATTTTATACATCATCTTTGTTGTAAAACCATATGCAGATTGTTTCAATGATAATTTATTAAATACTAGCGATCGCCCCGACTTCGTCAGCACAGGATTTTTTTTTGATATCATAAGGTGGCAAACGAGCGAGCGGCCACCTGAAATTGCTGAAATAGCGAAGTGACCGTTGCCCATAAACATACGCAATTGCATATGCGTTGCCTTCCTTTTATCGACGGAGGAGAGGATGCACAGGAAGAAAAAATATTGTCCCTTTCCATGCATCGTCTCCGGAAAGTCCACTTCCACTTCACATTTTTTCCTTATAAGAAAAAGAGTGGAAAGGGAAAGAGGATTAAATTAGGCCTCCGGGACGCACACTCATCAGACGAAACGCGGAATTGCTTGGGTATTTCACCGGGCGTACCGGGCCAATTCGTGCGAAGATGTTAAGAAGAAATTTTACAAATTGATTTTTCAATATAAGCTAAGCAAATTCTCTATATTGCATACAGACACTCCAATTTTATTAACATGTATATATTAGAGTTAGGAATTAATTGGGCAAACGTAGTTTAATGTCGTTTTATTTTAACTTTTTTTAACTAAATAAATACTGACCTTGTAATATTCAACACAGATTAAAAATATTCAAAATATAATAAACAATTTCTTTAACTTACTTCTCCGGCTGATTCTCAAAAACTTCTGAAAGAATTTAAAATATTGACTATTTAAACTACAGTTAAATTGATGCATAACATAAAATAATTGAGTATTTGTTACGGTGACATGAAAATATAAAATAAATAAAATTATTTTACTATCAAAAATCTATAAAAAGGTTAAAAATATTGAAAAATTAGTTACATAAATATTTTAGGTAAGAACTACATCTTACTAACATTATAAATGCAATTGTTTGGATGGATGGATGTTTGTAAGAAGATATCTACCGAATGGCTGCATGGATGTCGCTGAAATTTGACATAGATGTAGAACGTTAAGTTTTATTTAATGCCTCGCGGACGCAGTCGCTGGCGACAACTACTATAGTATTTACCATACCGTCTCAGGAAGGACAGTATGTTCCAATATTTTGAAGGTTCTGAACTTCGCGAGTGTTAACATTTTTATGTTAATGCCAAAGTACCTTACAACTTATCTTTTTTTGAATACTTATAAAATTGTCATCGTAATTTTTAACGCAAATGCTCACTGAAGGCCGCACTTAGTATAGATTGTTCTTAAGTTAACTAAGGAATAGCATGTTACCTTAAAATTATTGAATGTGTCCATTAAATGAAAATTATTTATTTTTATTTCAAATTGTAACTATGATGAAATTCATTTTGTTGCTATTGTTAGTTTTGGGCGGAGTTTTTTGTCAGAACAGTCGCAGATTACTACCCGAGGATATTCTGGAGTCACGTTATAATAATTCTAAGCCAGACGCTGGTCAGTGTAATGGCGGAAATTGCGGAGGTTAAAATAGACGTGTTAATAATAAAGGATAAATATCAATTTAAATAGAAAAAACATTTAAAAAGTAAAATTATATTGAACTTTAGTATTTATGGTTTATTTATTTTTTATTTTACACATCCATCCTTGAACGAAATGAAGTAAACACAGGAACGTCAAATTCAAACATGGCGGCAATTACGATATTTGACATTTTGTTTATTTCGTGAATTTGTGTTACATTAAGTGAAGCACTATTGTAAAATCTTACTAATATTACAAATACGAAAATACTAATATTATATATACGAGTATATCTCCAAAAAAAATTAAACGGATCTCGATGAAATTTGGCACAAATGTCAAACACGAAAGGAAAGATTTTTTTAATACCGCGTAGGCGAAGGAAGTTATGGACAAATGCTAGTAATAAATAATAAAATAAAATTATTCCTGTTTGATTTTTTCTTGACTTCTTATTGTAATTTTAATTATTGAAATTGTTTTGATAAATATTTCCTTTTTATTGGTAACTTGTTTTAATAAAATTATTTAAAGATAATTTTCTCGCGTTTTAACTTGCGTAGAACACGCACTTTCAATATATTTTATTGTTTACAATTTTTAATAAAACTAATTTACGATTATTTATAGCTATGGATCAATTAATTTGCAATCGCATATAACACAAAGAAAATAAACTATAGTCAACTTCCAGACATGATCGGAGGTGGAATAAAAGAAAAAGGGCGGCAAAAATGGTAAAAAACTGACACGTTAAACTTTAATTTGACTTATTCAAACTTTCGTGAGACATTATACTAAACTGTTATATAAACACGGCTAAACACTCACGTATATACGTCCGGTGGCGGCACCGACTAGTTTCGAGCCCATCGGGGGCCCTTCATCAGGATGAGTGGTACTGGTATTATTTCGCGGACGCGACCCGTCGCTGACTTTTTTTTGATAAGATTCTTGATTTATTTTGATGAGTTTTCATTCTAAGTCCTTTGCCTACAATACCATTCAGTAAGATTTAAGGTGTAGTTGACATGACGGTGGAGAGGACGCACAGATGAAGGATATTTCCCATTTGCAACATCCTATTAAAGGTACGCAACGCATCCGCGATTGCGGTTGTCTATGGGCAAGTCGCTTTGCTATTTTGACGAATTCATGTGGCGCGTTTGTCTGCTGAATAGAAAAGGACAGTCCGACAGACAGACAGACAGTAATAGAGACTCCAATTTTATTTATATATATGTCTATATAGTCTATACAGATTATCTTATATATAAAATTCTCGTGTCACAATTTTCGTTCCCATACTCCTCCGAAACGGCTTGACCGATTCTCATAAAATTTTGTGAGCATATTGAGTAGGTCTGAGAATCGACCAACATCTATTTTTCATCCCCCTAAATGTTAAGGGTAGTCCACCCTACATTTAATCCTTGTCCCTTTCCTAAATTTTTATTTTTAGACAAACACGCGGACGGAGTCGCGGGCGACAGCTGGTTATTTGTAAAAAAAACAAATGACTACTTAAATTCAACAACACGCGTGTTTAAACAAAGATGTTTTTTTTTTCCAGTTAACAATGAAAACTCTCCTCAACGCCTCAATTCTTATAATTATCTTTCATGGAACTTTATGTCACTTAAATCGAAGAGATGGTGGCATTTTAGATATATCAGTGACATCAAAAGTGTTAACACTAAACAGAGATATGACAACAGAACAATGTAATGAAAATAACAACTTCTGTGGTGGAGGTCTCGGACAAACTGAAGTTGTTAATGATGACACCTTTATTCCTCATGGATAAAATGCGTCCACCATAACATGACACCCTTGTGCGATTACGTCATTTTGAACTATTTATAAAACGGAGTTACTACTACTACAATATTACTATTTTAAGGTTATTTTATAAAATTGTATACACCCGTAGCTCTGACGTCATCTGACTAGTCTCTTATGTTAGTAATTAACTTTATTTATGTTAATCTAAATTGTTTTATTCATAATATATTTATATTCTCAGTACTTTACATTAATTATTATATTAAAATGTACATAACATTTTTAATTTTAATGAAACAATGATGAACAACTCGACTATAGTGGTTTCAGGCGGCAACAGTGGTAGAGCCCGCTTTAACATCATCGCACGAATTGGCCCGGCTCGCCCGGTGAAATACCACGACCACACAGAAGACAGACGTCAAGTGGAAGCTGTTCCGCGTACAGTGTAATGAGTGTGCGTCCCGGAGGCCTAATTTAGTCCTCTTTCCCTTCCCACCCTTTTTTTATAAGGAAAATATTTTTTCTTTCTGTGCATCCTCTCCTCCGTCGATTAAAGGTAGGCAACGCATATGCAATTCCATATGTCTATGGACAGCGGTCACTTCGCCATTTCAGCGATTTCAGGTGGCCGCTCGCTCGTTTGCCACCTTATGATATAAAAAAAAAACTATTGACGTTGAATGTTATTTTAAACCAAGTATGCAAGAAACATTTCTAAAGTTCCCGAATGATGGCCAAATGTCTTTGCCGAATTAAACATGTCTATTGAATAAAATCGTTAAACAAATCCACTTACTAAAACATAAATTAACGAACGTGTAAAAGTAGTAAATAATACTCTCCAATTAACCAACTGTTTAAATTTTAATGGCATGTTACATGACCCTTAATATCCAATGCCATGAAACCATAATTATTGCTTGCTCAAGTTATTGCAACAATTGATAATGACAGTTGATTATTTGTGACAACTGTCAAAATATCACCGCGTCCTTGACTTGTTAAATTGTCGTCAATTGAAGACAAGTAATTGTTAAAGTCACGAATAACGTTGCCCAGCTAAGTATATACTGTAATCTCAGTGTATATAATACTAGGTGAGGACTCCGTCTTCGCGGAATTAAATAAAAAATTATAAGTAGCTTATGTGTTCTTCTAGACTATGCTCTACATCTATGCCAAATTTCAGCGAGATCCATTCAACCATTCTGAGAGATTCCTTCTAACAAACATCCATCGAAACATTCGCGTTTATAATATTAGTAAACTTACTAAGAAGTAAGATATAGACACTTTTTTAAGTGAAAATTCCTTCTATCACCGTGTTTTCTTTACGTAATTCGAAAAAACAATTAATCTGTGACAAAAAAGTGTGTCCCAGCTGCATAAAAAACATATTCTTTCGTCTCTGGTTTAGCATTAAAATGATTCAACCGTTATCATTAACATGTTCATAATAAAACAAAAATAACCGTTAATCAAATACTGTTCATTACTCTATGACCTTCGTTCAAGTATAGTTCCATTCAAACTTTATTGCGGCTCGCGACACGTATCGGCGCGGGTACGGAACACTCAGTGTATGAACACATATATCTCTCAAGACATAAACGTCGACATTTTAGTAAGTAACAATACAGAGACACTTCGATGAACTAAGTATACCATAAATAGTGTCCTGGTCTAAAGTAAGTACAGTCAGTAATGTCGCAATTTCTGTCGTATACTAATCGTACTTTAGTGCAGAAACTTTCACCAAGTGTACACACGTCGATAATCTAGAGCCGCCATAAAGTTTGAACTTTGTTATACCATAAAGTTTCGTCACGGAGTTTGTACGGCAGCCATTATTATATCGTTAGAGAGATTATCCAAATCATTGCAACATGCCGGTCAATAATAGCTCGGTTAGGAAATTGCAACTCTTTAAGTTCTATTTAAGCAGTAGAAGCCCACGGTTTCATTTTACTGTAGTAAAATACGATCATCACTGTTCAAATTCTTTGAAACCATACTAATATAATATTATAAATACGAATGTTTAGATGGATGGATGTTTGTTTGAAAGTATCTCTAGAACGACTGAACACACATATAGAACATAGTCTGGAAGAACACATAGGCTACTAATTATGTTTTTCTTATATTCCCCGCGGACGGAGTCGCTGGCAACAACTAGTTGAGAACAAAGTCATATGTCAATTATAAAAATAACTATTGCTAAATGAGGATAAAGTTTACCAACAAATGTATTGGAAATAATTTATAATATAATAATATTTAACATGGGTTTCTGAGACCAAATTCTCTGTTTAAAATATATTTTCATCTCACTTTTGTCAAACATAATGACAGGGATGACGATATGTTTTATACAGAGATTAGATTCTCAGAAACCAACGATTAGTGAATCATAGAAACAGATCGGAAACAAATGTTGCAGTTATCAATACACATTATAAACATACTAGTGCTTGCCCGCGACTTCATCAGTATGGATTTTAAAAAGTAACCTATAATATGCCCGCAAGCATTAGTTATCTTCCCGTTCAAGTCTTGTCAAAATTGATACAACAGTTCCGGAGATTATCCGATACAAACGGACATATGTAGAGGAAGACAAAAATTTAAAAATTGTTTTTTCGTTATAAGCTACGCCATTCGTGTGTCATACAGACATTCCAATTTTATTTATGTGTACATCTGTATAGGTTTATACCCTGGTAATCTCGAAACAGTATGAATGAATGCACTTTATAATTAATTCGACTTTCCAGCTAGTGATTTAACTCTTGTTAAAAGCTGATTTGTACACGCCTGGGACATATAGAAATAACAGTATACTAAATGCGTAGTACATTTCGTTAAATTGAATCTTTATTGGGGTTAATAACTGTATGACTAATGTACAGTTATAGTCCTGTCATTTAAAAGACGAGCGCATTTTGTTTCTCCGTCAATTCCATCGGAAGTACAATGAAGCACATTTTGGTATGTAACCTTTTATGTTACTATTATAAATGCATATGTTTAGATGGATGGATGTTTGTTAGAAGGTATCTCCGGAACGGCTGTATAGATGTCGCTGAAATTTGGCATAGATGTAGAACATAGTCTTAAGAACACATAGGTCAATCATTAAGTTTTTATTTAGTTCCTTGCGGATGGAGTCGCATATGACACCTAGTCTTTTTATATTCGTGCTTGGCACTGTCGTAGTTCTGCCTACAGACGTAACTTTTAAATGTAATTAGGGTCTAATATTTGTGACACGCGTCTTCGTAACGTCATCGTGTTCAATTTAAACGATTTTCGTGGTCCGAATTCGTCTAAAACTAGGTAAAGGACCCTTAAAATTCAATTATTAAATTTGACGTATTGTTATATTAATTCCAGATTTATCTCTTAATTACAATCTGCTTCGTGTCAGCATTACCAAGTCGATCTATCCAAGAGTTAGAACAGCAATATTTGTTTAAATTACCAAGGCCATGGCGCACTCCAGACATACCTTCAAAGTTCCCCAGGAAAGGAGAATATCCTTGCAAAGATGGGATTTGTAAAACGAAGACACCATGTGAAGATTGTCAAGGACCTTTGCCCCTAGATATGGGATGGGATGAATTAAAATTTAACACTTGATTATTGTTTTATTTATAAGTTAAATAAAAAAATATATATATATTAGCCTCACAATTCTATCTACATACAAATATTACCTTTATCTAGAAAAAAATCGCATTGTTGCTATCCTATTAAAATAAATAAAAAGTTAATCTAGTTAGCCAGGCCCAAATTTCGAAACTTTACCAGTTGTGGTAGCTTGCAGTATCAAATATCTTAGTCGGACTGTGGCTGTCTGTGAAAAAGGTCGGTGCGCGAAGCCATTTAAAAAAAAAACTTTCCCGCCATTCATTTGCCGGGCACAAGGACTCATGCGTTCTGCCACTACGTTATAAAAGATGTGCATAAATATTATTGATGAATTTAAATAAAGAAGAACACATGCAAAATAACCAATGTGTTTTACATAAATATTGACAACAGGAAAATGACAGGAACATGTTGGTTTATAATTGTGTTGTATTTTTTATCTGTGAGCATTGGTGACAGAAGATCTGAAGAGGGATATCCCAGAGGACTTATGTCAGTTTGTATGTCTATAACATGATTAATGTTTTAACTCTTCTATTAATATTTTTTATATAAATTAAGATATTTAAAGTTAATAAAACTGTTATGTTAACCTAATCTAACCTTACATAATAATTTAGCAACCTTGTTAGGATATTGCGACCTTTTGACTGACCTCCTGATCTATATGAACTGTTTCCTTATACGAATAGCCTATCTCGTAACAAACGATCACGCATTTCATCCTATTTTGAAACTACACCACGTATGTACATTCCATTTACAATATATTAATTCTAGATTTAATTTAAATAACTATTGGAAATTGAAGATATTCTTTATCTTTTAAAATAAGTCACTTAACATTATTTTAATCACGTATGCTGCATGTCACATGTCACGTCGTCAAAATAAACATAAATAAAATTCAAAACAAATGATGTATTCAATTCCTAAATTAATGTAATATCGTGAATTAGTATATAATTAATAATTTTTAAAATTAACTGATAATCACGACTATTTTTTTAACTTTTTATAGTCTGTTAAAATCACGACGATAGTAAAGACCATAGACAATTTGAAGCAACAGTTACATTTTTTTTAAATCAAATTATATGTCATCAGCCGGCCAGTAATTATGCCCGGCAGCGTACACGTTATGAGGTTATGACGACACCATAGTTATTAATTCCACTGCATGCTTTCATGTAAAACTGTTCTTGGAAATATTGCCAGCAATTTTTAAATCTTAATAACATCTTATTGATTCAAAATAACCTTATAAGATGTTCACATGATAGAAAGCGAAATAAAATACAGATGAAATTAACTAATCATTTTCTAAGACAAAACATTGGGCACTGAGAGAAATATATGTTACTAATATTATAAATTCGAATGTTTGGATGTATGGATACATGTTTTTTAGATGGTATCATCAGAACGGTTTAATGAATCTTTATCAAATTTGGCATAGATGTAGAACAAAGTCTAAAAGAACATAGGCTACTTAAAGTTTTTTTTAATATGGCGCGAACGGTGTTGCGGGCGACAGCTAGTACTAAAATAGAATCCGGCGAAAAATATATGACTACCTATCTAATTTAACTTATCACCATAGGTCCTGGTTCGACCAAGCCAATTACCATCCCCCGAAGTCAGCTGAAGTACTTATTCTTCGTGGTGCAAGGTAAAGGCGGATCAAGACAACGATATAATTACTGGAATGCCAAAAAAATTTCCACAGACCCAAGAATAGACTTCAATAGGTGGGTATTTGTTTAGTATATTTATACAGGCTCACTTACCCTAATCAGCCGTCGTAACTGATATACGATCCTACCTAGGAGATCGAGGGTCAGCTAGATTTGACAAGGTCTCAGTCAATCACACTGGCTGTCAACCCTAAAATGTAATAGTTATATAGTGGCAGTAATCGACGAAATATTGATTTTTGCAACTTATTTTGACTCTTTGATTCAGTAGCGGCATTAGAGTAGGGCGGGGTAGGATGAGTCGAAAGGGGACACTGCAGGCACCAGATTCGGATATAAAGAAGCGCCTGCGGTCTCTAAGATACCCTATCTTTGGAGGATGTTCCTCGACACAAAAAAGGGGACACCACAGAAATCTCGTCCAGGGTGCCGGAAATTATAAAAACGATCCTGCTTTAGTCTACAAATATAAATGAGAAATATATGTTGTCGTTTCAGGAAGACGATTGTTGTGGCTATTGGCTATTTGGACAGTACCAACTTCCCTATCTCTGCGATGTTTGCGAACGAGTATGAAGCAAGGGATTACAATGTTATATTGGTGGACAACCAGAGATTCTCAACTGTACATTACTTTCTGTTAGTTATAATTATTTAATATAAAATTATGGCGCATAAAGCCTAAGGTTTTTAGCAATAATAAAAATAAAGCATGTGCTTACGTCCTTTTTTAATCTTTTTGATTGTGTACTTTCGTCTTTCAGAGCCACTCGTCTGATGCGTCCTGTGGGTTTGCACGTCGCAGAAATCCTAGCTAAACTCACAGAAGCAGGTCTCGATCCTTCAAAACTCGAGCTCTTGGGCTTCAGTCTAGGAGCACACACTGCTAGTTACATAGCTAAAAATTTTCAACTTTTAACTGGCAAGAACATATCTCGAATTTACGCCTTAGAGCCAGCAGGACCTTGTTTCAGAGATTTAAATAAAAACGATAGATTAGATGCTGCAGATGCGGACTTCGTCCAAGTAATTCACACCAACATTGACGCATTTGGAATGGCGGCTTCCATGGGTCATGTCGACTTTTACGTCAATGGTGGGGAGTACCAACCTTCAGACTTGAATCTATTTCCTTGCACAGGAACCTGCAGTCATTTTAAAGTGCTCCCACTTTGGATATTAGCTTTAAAGTATCCAACGAGGTTTATAGCAATCAAATGCGACAGTATTCAACAGGCTAGAGATGCGAAATGCTATGACAGAGTCCCTATAGAGACGAACTTTATGGGGCCGAAAGTCGATGTGACCAAGCATGGCATATTTTACCTATCGACTAGTAAATATTTTCCTTTTTATTTGGGTAAGAACGGATTGAAAGAAGAGTATGCATCATGGAGGACGATTAGTGATATTAATGACAGTGTTGGAACTGAAGTTTTTGTGTAAAAGTGATTATAATTGTTTTATAAAAAGAGTGTTTTATTTATTCTGTATTATGTTTTGATCATACTGATTGGACTGGATTGGTTCGTTCGTTTTGTCCAGTCTTGTGTCATGAAAAAGTTGTTAATTTGATTCATTAATAAATTAACGGTAATCTGTTAATCATAAAAATCAGTATTTTATTTATTCTTTTAAACAAATTTAGTTCAATTTTATTTTTAATTGAAATGGCAAAAAGCTCGGTTTCCATAGCTAAAAGTGAAAAAAGTAGAAGTTGTCGCAATGACGCAAAGCCTGACATAAGCGAAAAACCTTGACGATCTTTCTTCAATTCAATCTTTCAAAATGGTGCTTATATCTCGCGGGTTTCTTTCTAAATTAAATCAATTATAACTAAAATGTCGTACAATTGAAAACAGCATTGAATATTTATTTTAGGATTGTGCTTAAAAAATTTGCGGTTTTCGTTTTCGTTTCGTGAATTTTTAGTGTAAAAAAAATCGACATCGGTGTACCAAATCAATCAGTCTATGATGTTCAAAATCTTGTTATTTAAGGCGTCTTACGTAAGTATAATTATTTTTTTATTATTACACGTGTTCTTAATGTATTACACGCTATTAATATTTGATTCTTTTGATGATTTGGTTCGTACAAAGTCATGATAAATTGCAAAATCGTCATCGCATTTGCGCTGCCTATTATGGTTTTAAAATCAGTTTTACGCTTAATTACGATAATTGACTGATTGTGCGCTTACGGAACCTGTTTTCTAGAACATACATTGTAAAGTATTTGCTATGTGAAAAATTATTTATGATATTGTACATAGAGATTTGGTTATTTATATTTTATGTTATGAATAAAGTTGGCAAACAAAACATTTGGATGATACAACAATTGTAATATACAGGTATGCTGATAAATTAATATTCGGACTTTATTTTAACAACCTTGATTTATGTACATGTACTTTATAAACATAATTATTCAATTAAAATGTGGGAAAACATTTTATATTGTTATTAAGTTGTTTGTTGTTATGTTTATAAGATATAAAAACAAATAAGTGAATACAGTAATAATAGTAGAAAATATTCTAAAGTTTTTAATAAACATAAGCATTTTTTATTTTAAAAAAACAAATGAACTCTATTATAACTTTTAAATTCTATTAAGAATTAATGGCACATTCAGCCATATAAAAAATTATTTGTATTCAAAAAAAAATAATAACTCTTCAATTAAGTTATAAATAAATATTACCAGCAAAATAAATTAAAAACAAATACTACAAGAAAATATTGAGAGAAATGACAATACATGCATAATATTTCTAATACAAAGTAACATAGTTCGTTCATAAGTATATGTATATGAACTTGTGTTTTTAATTCTGCATACTATACTCATTATCTCCATGTCTTTATCACACTCTTAAAAACCATCAACACTTAATAACGACCCAATCCGCAACAGGAAAACCATAAACAAGGCACAACAATCTCAGTCGATGTCAGAGCACCATGGTACCCATTTGCCACTTCCTTAATCATCTGTTTCACAAAATCCATCCATACATTCATAAGCCTATAGCAAATAGAATAAACTTGAACAATTATTTCACATACTGGCCGTCAAATACAACTCTGTGCACGGAATTTTAAAAAAAAGATTAGTAGCATATGTTCTTCCATACAATGTTCTACATCTATGCTATATTTCATTGAGATTTGTTGAGCTGTTCTACATATACCTAACAAACATCTATCCATACATCCAAACATTCGCATTTAAATATGAGAAGAAAAATTATATTATTAAACCTCTGATTCACAAATGTATTTAACCAATTGATGTGAGCCTTTTTTCTTGTATGTAATCTTGTTTTTTATGTGTTTGTATGTTTGTAATATATTGTGACAGCCTAGAGCTTAAAGAAATGAACAAATTTAGAAAATGTGTCATTCACTTTATCTTTTCCCTTGAGTGTCATAGTGATAGAATTTATTACATTGGCACAAAATATATATAGTAGATCATCATCATCAGCTCACTATACATCCCCACTGAGGGGCTCGGAGTCTACCCTAAGTTAAGAGTGATTAGGCCGTAGTCAACGCTGGCCAAGTGCGGCTTGGTTGAACACATGTTTTTGAATTTCTGCTCAGATATGTGCAGGTTGCATCATGATGTTTTCCTTCGGCTTCATATATAGTGGATATAGGAAGTTAAATTCTAAATTAGATACAAAACAAGTTCTTTGGTTATTTGGTATATTTAGTAGTTAATATTAGTATAGTGTCTAGTAGTTTGTATCTTGCTCATCGTAACTTACTTTTTTGAGTATATTTTAAAGAAATCATGAAGGTTTTTTATTTAGTTTAAATTAAAATTATAAAAAAAAAATCTTTTAGTAGTTAAAAGTGTTCTTATTATTATATTTTAACTAAATTTAAGTTAATTTGCTTTTTTTTTTGTTATTTTTGTCCGTGATCAGTGAAGCAATGTGAATACTTCCGTGTAATAAATAAATTAAAATTTTATCAAAATTGTGCAAAACTATGAGTAACCGTAGATCATTTAACGAAAACCTACATCTTGTCATCACTGTTATTTATAAAGAGAATCAATGAAATGGCATTACAAGTTTTTCAACAGTGAAAACCCGCAGTGATACAGTTGTTTTTATTTTAAATACAATCAGCTACTTATAAAGACATCAAATAAACGTGAACAGGTGGTCTTTTGACGCGGCACTTGATCAACTATGTCATACTAATATTATAAATGTGAATGTTAAGATGAATGGATGTTTCTTTGAAGGTAACTCCTAGAATGGCTGAACGAAACTCGATGAAATTTGGCATACATGTAGAACATATTCTGGAAGAACACATAGGCTTCTCATTTAGTTTTTTTTTTAACTCAAGGAGTCGGAGTCGCGGCGGCAGCTAGTCTACAAATAAATCAATTGACGCGCCAGCTGACGATGACAGCGCGTCACACATGTCAAATACTCTTCCCAACAGTAGTGGAATGCTTAAGATATTTACGCCCGGTATCCAAATGGAATTTATGATTGATCTTTTGTTAACGAAACATAGCTAACAAAAGGCCGCGACTTCGTCTGCGCAGAATAAAAAAAAACAAGTATCTCATGTGTTGTCTAGACTATGTTCTATATCTGTACGAAATTTCATTACGATGCGTTGAACGATTGCGGAGTTATCGAGTATCCCACGGGAATCAAACACGTTGCCGGGACAACTATGTCCTTCCTGATTATGTTCTACATCAGAGAAATACGTCATCCAGATTATTGGTAATAGTTTCTAACAAACATTCATCTAAACATTCGCATTTATAATATAAGTAAGATAGGATAAGCATGCAACTAGTGGTCTTCATATTCGGTCGAGGAGCTTAAGCCTACCTTAATTAAGATTACCCAGCTACTAATATATAAAAAAACTATCAATATTAATAATAATATAATAAAATATGTAATAATAATAAGTATCCATTTAATTTTAAATAAAAAGCGCCAATAGTCTAATGGTTAAGGGTACGGATTTCCGATCACGTGGTCGAGAGTTCGAATTCCGCCATTTGACTATTGTTGTAAACCATATCCTAGCACAAGCCTTGAGCTTAGTTGGAATGGAAATAAATATTAGTAAATTCACAAAAATCTGCTAATATTAAAAAAAACATTCTTATTAATATTATAAATGCGAAAGTTTAGGTAGATGGATGTTTGCTAGAAGGTGTCTCTATGGACCTCGATAAAATTTTACATAGTACATAGTCTGGAAGAACACATAGACTATATTTCTGCAATTCCTCGCAGACGATGTCGCGGGCGTCAGCTAGTTGTATATAATCTGTGAAGCAAGTAAAGCGTGTAAACTGTTTTTGAGCTGACACAAGTAATCGTATTAAGTTAGCGATGGCGTAACTTCGCCTCCAAGCCGACGCATCACCTTGTGATGCGTGACTCATAAACTTAACCGTAGGTTTACACTGTATAACTTTGATATATACATGTTATTCCTTTATTCTATATGGAAAGAACAGAGATAAGTGTTTTAACTTATGTCACCTTCATACCCTTTTCCCTACAAAGGGTCGGTACAGTATATGCCGTTATATCTGAATTCATTTTGCCACATATATCCTTCTTTCTATAATTTAACTATTTGTTTATATAAAGTAAGAAAAAAAATCTAGACTCCGTCTGCAAAGAATTAAAAAAAAACCATTATTAGTAGTCCATGAATTCTTCCAGACTATGTTATATATTTATGCCAAATATCATCGAGATGTTGAGCCGTTCTGTAGTTATATTCTATCATCCATCCACTCATTCATACATACAAGAATTCGCTTTTATAATATTAGTAAGATAATTTGATTTTGAAATCTATTAAGCGCTCGCTTTATTCTATATTATGCATAGATCCACTCTCCGAGGCGTTGTGGCGACTTATGATTTAAACGTCGCTCAGAAAGCCTGATTTATTACAGTCCGCCATCTTAGACTGCATAATGTATTCGTTGAGACTGACTCGAAGGACCAACACGTAAAATAAAAAAATAAGTATTTCGTTTTGAGCGACGACTATAAATCTTTTACTAAAACTTTTATTATACCTTAATAGTCTTAAAAATTATTTTTAATTTGTGAATTTAAAAACAATAAACTCTTCTTGTCGTTTTTTTTCTAATGACCTACATATTTGCTATTATGTTTATCTTCCGTTCTTTCAAAACAAAATAGCTACAAAAGGACACATACATATTTTAAAGTAAAGTTAGTTTCAAATGTTAAGTTCTTAGTTTGAAATGTGTTATACTTAAATCGTAAATATCATAACAAAATATTATCACAACATTTAATTGAGATTACGATAATAACATTACAATCTGCAATCCTAAATACAGCTCTTCTTAAATTGCATGTAATTGACATATCTTAGTGTGTTATACGAAAATAGAACTAATGGTGTTGTGATAAGGTGTATTATTATTATCTACATGCTTCGCGTGACACACGCAACTTCTGGGTGGGATGACTTTTGCAATAATGTGCTGAGCTGTCCCGAGTTCTGTTTTTAGCTGTTTTATGACCAACTAGCTGTCGTACGAAACTTCGTCCGCGCGGAATTAAGAAAAAACAATAGGTAACCTATGTGTTCTTGCAGACTATGTTCTACATATATGCAAGATCCGTTATGTCGTTCCGGGGATACCACCAAACATCATTTCAAACTTCGCATTTATAATATTAGTAAGATGGTATCAACGTTAATTGTCAAATAATAGAAAGATTTTCGTAAAATTAAAAAAAAAAAAAAAAAAAACAGGTAAGATTCTCCTTTGTCAATATTCTTGATATTTACGTAATATTTTATTGCTTCCAATGTGCCTTATATAACAAAGTTTATCTTATTATTTGTGAGAAAAATTATATATACAGACTCAAACTACATTTTCGAAGCAATGTGGAGACAATAATGTAACTTTCTAATATAAATTCGACATTGTATGAGTCAGAAATATCTAGTAAGGGCAAATCGCCAACACTGCAATGCGAAAATCTTTTACTCGTTACTTATAAAAGAAACAAATTTAATGTTCCAGAAAATTCTAAATAAATGATTTCAAACTAGCTTTCGCTCGCGTCTCCATCCGCTCGAAATTAAAATAATTAGTAGCCTATGTGTTCTTCCAGACTATGTTCTACATCTATGCCAAATTTCATCGAGATCCGTTCAACCGTTCTGAAGATACCATCTGTACTATACTATTAAAAAAAGTCGAAAAACAATCTTTATTCCAGAAATTTATAACACAAATCGATTTGATTTTAATTAAGGGACTTAAATTATCGAGTAATGGTGATCCTAAATTACTAATATTGACCTACTAACTCTTAATTGGTTACGAATTGCGTCTAAATTAGCTAGCCCGCCAAAACATTTATGACGTCACGTATCCTTGCACAGACTATACAAGCCGTATTACCTCAGCGTCGCTAATTACGTGTTATCTAAGGCAACTGATGTAACGCTGGCCGAATAGAATCATTAGTGGCCAGTGTGCGCGTCTAATTTTTAAATTTAGAACACTTTGGTGTAATAAAAAACCATAGATATTTTATTTTTTTTAGAAGAAAGCAAATGAATGATATTTGATATTTTTTTGCCAGTTTATAAAATAGTTTTTTTTTCTGTTAGAAGATAGAGAAGTCTCCCTTTAGTATTTTGGCTAATCTAATTTAACTGTTTAAAATCGCACAATAATTGCTTTTACTAACAATTTTGAATTCTAAATGTGTTTATTTCTTTATAAAATAAATTCAACTACACAAAGTAATATATATACATATATACATTTTCACATTAACATCGAATTACAAAAAGTTATGAAAAGTACTTTTTTTAATATATACGTTAATAACACCTTTAGAAGCTCTAGTTTATTAAAACACGCCACAAAATTACCTGCAATGCGTCTTTTAACCTCAATATTATGACTAACATTCATTTTTAAGGATTAATTCAAAAAGTTTATTGAAGAAAAAGTTCAAATGTTGGTAAATATGTTAACGAAACATTTGTGTGCCATAGACAACCACGCTGGCCAAGAGCGGGTTGGTTGACTTCACACATATCTTTGTTTTTCTTCTTAGATATGTGCAGCATCAGGATGTTTCCCTTCACCGTAAGAACGTCAGTTAAATGTACATATGTAAATCGGAAATCGAAAAACACATTGGTACATGGCGGGATTCGAACCCATGACCTGCAGATTGCAAGTCAAGTGCTTGACCCCAGAGCCACGGACGCTCTAGAAACCCTTTAGTTAGTACTAAAATAAATAAGATCTTATTCTAAGTTAAAGTGGTAGTTAAAAGCTTTAAACAAAATTAAAAACTCATTATAAGCACGCGAGTTTTGATGCTGAAACCATAAAACTTGAACCATAGAAATAACTGGGGTTATACGAAGAAATAAAAGAAATCCTACGTTATTTTTAACGTCAAAAACATCTAGTACATAGTCTGGAACACATAGGCTACTAGGTTTTTTTTTAATTCTGCGCTGACGGTGGTACGGGCGACAGCTGGTTTTAAATAAAGGTACCTTTCTAAAATTGGAGTAAGTTATCTTTGTTGACTAGTCTCTGTTTACCCCAAAATGTTAGCAAAATAAATCAGTTCATTATCACTTTAGCGGTAAATTGATTACAAAACACTTCGATACAGCGTGTTATCAATATATGATAAGACAAACGATCGCTTCCTTTTGAGTTCTTGCAGTTGCTAGATATGTGTCAAGGTGCGCGCGCTTTTTGACGTTTTAATTTTTTTAATTTTCGTAAGTGCGAAGACAACGCGGTCGTTGAGCCAAGTTTTTTATGTTTTTAATTTATTATAATTAAAAAAAGTTTATAATGAATTTTGGTTTGTTGTTAGATTAACAATTGTAATAGCATATATTATGTGTAGGATGTGTTTAATTTATTGCATGTGAATAGTGATTGTAAATTTTAGTACGAAAATGAAAATGAAAAATCCATTTCGACTCTTATCTTTAGGTTAGTATTATTTTAATAATCTGCTGTGTGGATTTTTTATCATAAGGTGGCAAACGAGCAAGCGGCCACATGAATACGCATAAATAGCGAAGTGACTGCCCATAGAGATTCGTAATTACAGATGCGTTGCCTACCTTTAATCGACAGAGGAAGGGACGCACAGAAATAGGATATATCCAATTCTTATGCGTCCCCTCCACCATCTGTTCGTGTAATGTGTATTGTGTGTTAACACATTGAGTGCTACCATTGCCACCCGTCCTAAAAACGTCCCCACCGAGGATCTTGTTCCTAACCTAATATGTTACGGTTGACTAGGCCTTAATCAAAGCTGACCCAGTGTATATTGATTAACTTCACACGTTCAAAATAAGTGCAGGTAGCATTTTGATGTTTTTGACTCGACATAATGAACTAGTACTTCTTCTGAACTAGTAATCTTACTAATATTATAAATCCGAATGTTTAAATGGATGGATTTGTTTGAAGGTATAGTCTGGATGAACACTTAGGCTACATATTACGTTTATTTTTAATTCCGCGCATACGTAGTCGCGGGCGAGAGCTAGTAATTACTATTTTAAATTCAATGACTTATAAGCGACGAAGGTTCAAGGGTTTGTTCCTATTTTCGATTTACATATGTACATTTATCCTTAGTTCTTATTGTGAAATTCAAAGATATGTGTGAAATCAACTCGCACTGGGCCAATGCTGATTGTGGCCTAGTTGCCTCTAAGTTACGATAGGCCGGTAGCCCCTCAGTGGGGACGTATAGTGAGCTGATGATGAATTTAATGTGGCATTTAAAGTGTTAACTGGTGATGAAAAGACACTTTATAATCCCGTTACAATAAATACAGTCCGGAAATGAATCATAGTGTAGGTGATGTTATCAAATATTGTCTGATAACGTTACCTTATCATTATTCTAATTTAATTTTAATTAAATCGTAAATTAATTTTATGGTACAGATAAAACTAGGCAAATATATAAATTAAATATTTGTATGTTTGTTAAGTATTCAATATTGTTTTAACTACTACTAACTGTCGCCCGCGACTCCGTATGCGTAGAAATAAAAAATAACTTAGTAATCCATGCCGATCAGCCGATCTTGAGATGCCATCTAATAAACATCCATCCATCCATTTATAATATTAGTATGATTGTGTCACATTTGATTTGTACTACAATATAAAACGTATTAAACATTTTATTTAAATGTTGAATCGTATATGAATTTAAAAAGAAAAAATATGACACAACAAATTGTTTTGAAATTTATACTTATTAATAAACAATAGAAACTATTACAAATATTACTATTAGTACCTGTTTCCACTAGGCCACAAGTGGCTGTTTGGTGTAGCAGTTGTGGACACACCAGTGGAAATAAAATAAACAAATAGTGAAACCGCTTCGTGGAAAAAGGCACTTACATTTAGCAGTGTACATTGTCACTTATTGCACGTTTAATCTATTACAGGTGAGATAAGATGGGTGCTGGGAGGCTGTAGGGTGAGAGATATGTCCAACCTGTCGAGCGCGAAGCACGCGCCAGCAGAGCCCGCGCAATTAGAGACTAAAAGTAAGTAATAAAGATTTGATTTTGACTTACCCTTATTGCAAACGTCTTTAGAAAAGAAACAAGGTGTATTTTCCCTCTGTAAAACCGAGATAGTTAGAAATTATTAAAAAAAAATGGTGACAGACAGACGGACGGACAACAAAGTGATTCTATAAGGTCAGTTTTTACTTTTGAGTTACGGAACTATGAATATTACAAATGTAACTCATTTTATCCCTTAAACTGAAAGTTGTCGCCTTAAATCCAATAAGACCTCATTCGTTTTAACATATCAACAAAAAAAATATCCTATTATTAATCGGTCAAAGAGTATTGTGACATTTAGTTATAATGATACTGGGTTTCGTCCGCGACGTCGGCGCGGAATTAAAACCAAAGTGACCCTATAAGGGTTCCGTTTTGTTCCTATGAGGTACGGAACCCTAAAAACATGTTAAGCCTATGTGAATATGTTCCATCATCATCATCATAATCAGCCTAAATATGTCCACTGCTGGACGTTGGCCTCTATGTTCTATATGTCTGCCAAATTTCATCAAGATCCGTTTAGCCGTTCCGGAGATACCTTCAAACATCCATCCATACAAACAATCGCATTTATAAGTAAGATTACTTAAGCGTGGACCTGTACAGATGTAATTTACCGAGCGTTATCAATGTTTTCCTTAAATTATAAACCTTGATGGTACTTTCCTTAAAAGAAATTTCCTTATAGGCAACAATGGACTGTCAAGGTATCTGAGTAAGTTACGTGACATCGAAAAACAGGAAATTTCTAGATCATTCGATCTCTATAGTTTCTCGTTTTGTACTTTTAAACAATCTTACTTCTTACTAATATTATAAATCAGAATTTTTGGATGGAGGAATGGATGAATGTTTGTTTGAAGGTTACTCCAGAACTGCTGAACAAATCTCGATAAAATTTCGCATACATATGTTTTTTTCACACGCGGACGAGGTCGCCGGCGACAGCTAGTATTAGTTAAAATCTTTTGTTTTTTTTAGTTTAATAGCTACATACAAAACAATTATTTCTGTATAACATTTGTATATAAGTTCATCTCTTATGTAGTTCAAAAGCCAAACGAAACATAGTCACCGAAATTGGTAAAAAAAAACAAAAACGAACGCCTAGACATGAACTAAAGTCAACTTTCCCCTTGACTGTCTACCCGCGATAAACTTGAAAAAATATTGAATTGTATGATTTGCATACGAACAATTGCATAAAGCGATTCAGTTGGTTTTTAATTGTTATTTAAATTAGCTAAAATCCTCAGGTTTGAAAACAAAATAGCAAAGAAATTTGACGTACTCATGACAAATATTATTAATGTTATAAATGCGAGTGTTTGGATGGATGTTTGTCAGAAGTTGTCTCCAGAACGGTAGCATGATTTTTTCTGATATCTATATATATAAAAATCAATTGCTGTTCGTTTATCTAGCTAAAACTCGAAAAAGGCTGAAAGGACTTATCTTGGTCTTGAAATTCGAATATTCGCCGGAAACTAATTAAGTATTTTTTTCATTGACGCGGACGGAGTTGCAGTCGTCAGCTAGTGTAATATAAATGAAGGTCATAGTCTGGAAAAACAAATAAGCTGCTAATTATGTTTCTTTTAAGTTTACGCGGACGGAGTAGCAGGCGACAGCTAGTTACCAGATTAAAATAAAAACATTTCCGTTTGGATTATTAATAACAATATAATATTTTGATTTTTCAGTACTTATTATTCAATAGAATTGGCGTTAAGGTAATTTGCATGTAATTACAATGCAAGACGGTCGAAAATTGCGTAAATGTTAACATTGAATTGTGCTCGATGAATACGATTAGTTCACTAAGGACAGGGACACACTTTACGGAAAATATACTAGCACTGTTGTGCTCGGAATGACGTATCCATCATCATCAGCTAACTATACGTCCCCACCGAGAGGCTCGGAGCCTATCCTAAGTTAAGGGTGATTAGGTCATAGTCAACCACGCTGGCCAAGTGCGGGTTGCTTGACTTCACACATATCTTTGATTTTCTTCTCAGACATGTGCAGGTTGCATCACGATGTTTTCCTTCACCGTAAGAATGTCGGATAAATGTACATATGTCAATCGGAAATCGAAAAACACATTGGTACATGGCGGGATTCGAACCCAGGACCTGTAGATTGCAAGTCAAGTGCCTGACCACTGAGCCACCGACGCTCCATACTCTTTGGTAAACATAGATTAAACATTCTGTTAAAAAGGTGGCATAACGACCTAAGAACCTTTGCCTTTTTAATTATGAAAAAATATAAAGAAAATATTCGAGAATCGCGCGGGAAGTCGAAGAGTTAAAAACGACTACAAAATTAAAACAAAACGCTGTATAATTTTAAATTCTATAGAATTTAATTAAAACACGTTTTGTTTTATTTTTCACATTTTCTTTAATTTTTTTCATAATTGAAAGGCAAAGGTTCTTAGGTCGTTATGCCACCTTTTTAACAGAATGTTTAATCTATGTTTACCAAAGAGTATGGAGCGTCGGTGGCTCAGTGGTCAAGCACTTGACGTGCAATCTATTTATATTGTAGAGTCGTATATTTTAGTAGTCATGAAAATTCAATTATCTATATAATTTTCACGACATCACTTGTAACTTTAGTTTCACGTCAAACAATTAATCCGTCCAATTGGAAAAAAATATACAAATATCTGCATATTATGACTAATCGATTCCAAAGAGCGCATGCGAATTGCTGTTGTGTGCGACTATTTAATATAGCTATTAGGTTTCAAGATTCAATTACGTATTTATTTTAAACTAGCTGTCGCACGTGTTTCCGGTCCGAATTAAGAAAAAAAAAATTAAGTTGCCTATGTGTCCTTCCAGACTATGTTCTACATCTGTGCTAAATCAGCGAGATGCAGACGTTCTGGAGATACCTTCTAACAAACATTCGCATTTATAATATTAATAAGAAGTATTACACAAGTTCCTGTTAAAGTTGATTAATTAAAAAATAATTAAGGAAATTAATTATGGTTTATTGCCACGGGAAATTCAATACTATGTTATTTTTAAAGGTTGTAACCTTAAATAGATAATTAATATCAATGTACTCGTATAACAGGAATACGATTTACTACATGCCGTATAAAGTGACAATATATCCGCAATAAACTTCCGATAACACATGTTGATAAACGAGTTTATATTTTATCTGTGCACAAAATAAAAATTATATAAAAAAATATAGAGAATTAAAACAAACGAAGACAGGGCAGGAAAAACGCTGTCACAACGAAATGTAACAGGAAAAGAACATCCTGTATATCATATCTTCTCGCAAATATGTTCTGTTGAACAAAGTAATGAGATTGAATGTGGATAGGCACTAAGACTAGTATACTCTGTTGACCTAGCACGAATATTTCTGATATTGTTAAAGACATATGTATGCAGCTACCCAATAGGACGTAAACACGAAAATCTCATACTAATTTTGACATAATTGATGATACGAAGGCAATTGTCACAAAGGATGGTTGATAAGTAAAATATCGGAGCGTTGGTGGCTCAGGGGTTTAAGCACTTGACTTGCAATCTGCAGGTCCTGTGTTCGAATCCCGCCATGTGCTAATGTGTTTTTCGATCTTAGATTAACATATGTATACATTTATTCGACGTTCTTACGGTGAAGGAAACATCGTGATGCAACCTGCATATATCTGAATAGAAATTCAAAGATATGTGTGAAGTCAACCTGCACTGGGCCAGCGTGGTTGACTATGGCCTAGTCACCCCTTACATAGGGTAGGCTTCTAGCCTCTCATTGGGAATGTATAGTGAGCTGATGATGAAGTATAATATAATAAAAAGTAAATTATCTTCCAGGGTCTCGTCGTCGCGCTGGTGGTAGGGCTGCGGCGCTACGGCGGGCTCCTTCGGATTCTGACTGCTCGGGCGAGACCGCTTCGCTGTCCGCGGACAGTGCGGAGCGCGCGCCCCGGGCTCCGCCCCAGCCCGCGCGACAGACAAAGTCCAGAGGGTAAGTAAACATTCAATTGTAATATTAAATAGTCTCCAATCATCTTACATAGAATTTAATATTTCTGATAAATAAGACTTCTAATTATAATGTTCCATTTTAATAAAACCACAGAAGTCGTCGACGTGGTAGCGAGTGGGAGGTCCTGGAAGGTCTGAAAGATGGGCAGCGGTTTGAAAAGCGGCCCGAAGTCTTTAATGGATATCTTCACAAAAAGAGGAAATGGCCTCTAAAAGGATGGCACAAGGTATATACCCATGTAATATAGCATTTTCACTTATTGACAAAATCAAATTACGATAGTTGATGACTTTGCAAAACTCGACCCCGAGGCCATAGTTAACGCTGGCCCAGTGCGGGTTGACTTCACACATATCTTTGAATTTCTCAGATATGTGCAGGTTGCATCACGATGTTTTCCATCACCGTAAGAACGTCGGATAAATGTACATATGTAAATCGGATATCGAAAAACATATTGGTACATGGCGGGATTCGAACCCAGGACCTGAAGATTACAAGTCAAATGCTTAACCCTCTTATAAGAAAGATGGGAAGAAAAATTTAACTAAAATTAGGTCTCGTCAGACGAAACGCGGAACACACTTGATGCCTGTCTTCTGTGTGGTCGTGGTATACCAAACATGTATACCAACAAATTGACCCGGTCCTATAGGACCGGGTCAATTTGTTCTACTAATTGGTAGATTCAGACAAATATATTCTTTTCAGCGTTTCTTCGTAGTAGACGGTGGGATACTAGTATATGCTCGGTCGCCGTCAGATGTAGCGCGCGGCAGACTGCACGGCTCTGTGGATGTCGGTCTGTCTGTCATATCGGCAAAAGCAAGACGACGTCGTATTGATATTGATGCTGATGAGTTCATATACCATCTCAGAGCTAAGACTCCTGAAGTCTTCAGGACCTGGTTGAATGTTCTGAAGGCGCATAGGCAAGTGATAAAAAAATCAAGTTTAAAACTCATTTTTTTTGTTAATTTACTAATATTTCTTCTACTATTCCAACTAAACGCTTGTGCTAGGTTTACGACAATAGTCGAATCTTGAGGTTCGAACCTTTGGCCTCGTGATGGGAATCCGTACCCTTAACCTTTAGGCTATTGACGCTTCAAATGTTCAATAATTGTGATACATGCATACTCATGTCAGAAAATTAAACTTAAATCTAGCTTAAACTGTTTTGCATTGCTAAAATCAAAATAACCTCAAAAGTGTATATCATATTCATTAAAATCTGTCTATTTATTTAGGGATTAATATTAGGTTTTTTTTTATTTTACTTTAGGTTATATCGTCAACATTTATTGACTTTTGGTGCGAGAGAATCTGTTCCTAAAATCCACGCGCCATTAGAAGATTTACCTACTGACACTCCGACACGTAAGTCTTTTTATTACCAATATAAAATTTTAGTGATTTTCAACCTTATTACTGTATAGATAAGGTTTATTTCTATTATATGCATGCTATTGATTAAATATCCAATAGAAAAAACTTTATAAATGTACGTTATTAAATATACTTAGTGATTTTAAAGAGCTGAATAATCTTACTAATATAAATGCGAATGTCAAGATGGATGTTGGAATGTACCTCTGCAACAGCTGCACGGATCTCGCTAAAATTTGTCATAGATGTAGAACATAGTCTAAAATAACACATAGGCTACTTATTATTTCGTACGAACGGAATCGCGGGCGACAGCTAGTTATTACATTTTTTTTTCTTTAAACAATCGTTAAGTTTGATCTGTAAGTGAGCTATATTATGTCTAATAGTTTCTTAATATCATTCATTTTGCTAAAATAAATATTTTACGAATCACAGATTGGTTAGCAAGGAAAAGGACAAGGACTATATGTTCATCGAGTGACGGTGATCGAATCGATTCTGTAAACTCATCCATACAATCAAACTTGATCCCACCCAAAGCTATACCATCTAATACAACACTTATAAACAAACAAACTAATAACAAGGAATTAACATCACTTAAATGTATATATTCAAGAAAGAAAAACGATTCAATAGATAAAAGAATCGTTTGCTGTTTCAAACGTGTTGCCAATTCTAAAGAATTAGCTAATAATAAAAATAAGGAAGCGAACAGAAATCATCCAAATCATGGTGACTCTGATGATGCAAAGAATAATCCAGAAGAAACGCTCATGCATACCACAAATCTTGAAGTTAAATCAACATATCTAGAATCTTTAATGAGTATCGAATCTTTATATTTAACAAAAGAGAAATCAAATTCTAGTTATAGAAAAACAATACCGAATTTCCAAATAAGTTACAAAAGGAATGAAGAAAATAAACGCGCTAAAACATCTAAAGATACTAACGCGGTTAAAAATGAACCTATAGTATTTTGTTTTACTCATAAACATCGGTCTTGTAGAACTAATGCTAAAGCCCCACTTTTAAAACGTAGTAGAAAATCCACGAATATGGTCAAATATAGAAACGTGTTAGCCGAACCACCTCTCAAACAACCTTTGAATAGAAGTATGCTTTTAGGAAAATATAAATTAAAAATATCACGACACTCCGATGCGAGACCGGCCAGAGTTATACTATTAAATCAAAACCTTAATGAACCTAACGAGAATAAAAAGAATATCCAAAAAGACGAAGCCGATACAGATTTTAATAAAATGACTGAAAAACTTGTCGAAACAGTATTTGAAAATTACGCTAAATTTGAAAATTATCGATCTGAAGATCATTTGAGAAGCTTCATAAACAAAGTTATAGCAGAAATATATTGTTTTAGTTGCGAACAGATAGATGACCATCCAGTTAAAGCGCTATTCAAATGTCTTCTTGAATACTGGATACAAAATAGTTCGTTCCCACATTTAAAAGAAACCATAAAAACTGTTAAATCTATAAGCAAACCATCAAACTATTATTTTACTAAAGACAAAAACACATCAAGTCTTTGCGTACAAAATCAAAGTAAAGAAACACAATGTCACGATTACTATGATATTTTAAGAAAGAAAAAATCTAAACATTCAATAATCTTCAATCCAATTGGATTAATAAAAGTACCTAAAAAGGAAAGCTTTAATAAAGAACAAAAGATACAGGAATTAGAAAGGATGATAAAGAACACTGTCTATTACTGCGACAACACACTAACAGAGCCTAAAGATAGTAAACAAGATGATATTAAAATAACGAAAATTTTAATTGAAAATATTGGCAAAGGATACCCTGATCAATGTACAAATAAATTCAATAAGATACCAAATGAATGTGAATTAATTGAATTACAAAAAGTAATAAACTATTTACTTAGTGAAACATCACTTCCAGTTGATATGGCAAGAGAGATTTTCAAAGCGTATTTAAATATCCTTAAAAATGATAGCATCGATGATATGGCTAGCAGTTTGTCTGTAGACACTCCTAAAAATATTGAACCTAAATCATTTCATTGCGACGTCTTAACTGATTGTGTACAAAAACATATATCCAAAAACATAATGACGCAAAGTTTTCAAGGTTCTTTTAACGAACATTTATCCGTAAATAATTTTAGTGAGATATATTTATATAATGTTTTAAACAAAATAACTTTTAAAACGGACAATGTTAAAATACCATGGGATCGTGACACGCAAAAGGAAAAAATCAAAGAAGCTATGGATGAATATAGACAATTTAAAAATGGATCCGAATTTAAAATACAAACAGATAAAAATGAAATTAATAAAAACAGATTTTTATATCTATCGCAGTATAATCTAGAACATAATACAACAGATAATATACCACTGGTAAAAGAGATGATGTCAATATCAATAAATCTAGATGATAAAACAGAAATTTCTAAACCAAACTATATTTTGCAGGACAATTGTAAACCAAATGTCCCACAACCTGTACTACCAATATTCGATTATAAAACTAATTCTGATAGATTTACAACAGTTAATTCTACAGCAAATTACAATATAAACCCTTATTTAGATTTTAACTGTAATGCATATGATAATATAAGTATTAAACCATTTTGTAGCAGTGATACTTTATCGAAGACATGTTTTAAGAAAATGTATGAGAAAAGATGGGATATTAATGATATTGCTTACGTCGTAAGTGATTTAAACATGACTAGACTATCTTCAGATAAAGGAAAATCTAATGATTTAACTCTTGATGAAAATGCTGATAATATACCAAATACATCGAAGAATACAGAAGAAGTAGATTTTAAAGAAGATAATATATGTATTTCTGGTGACAAAAAAGATGATTTATATTCCTTAAAAAGTAAATTGTCAGACATAATTGATGAAGAATTTAAAAAGTTATTATTAAACAAATTAAGTAAACTATCGGAAACTATACCACCCTTGCATGAAGATATATACAAATTATATCATAAAATTTTGCAAAAATATGACAAAATTGATATTAAAAAATCCACAGAAATTAACAATAATGATGATAACTCGAAAAAAGATATGGCTATTCAATTTGAAATAAATCCAACCAATGAAGGAAATATAAAAAATAACGCAACCGTAAACACGACCAGTTTTACGACATTATTAAAAGAAAATAAATTTATCGATGACAAAGCTGAAAATAGTCAAATTATGGACAAGAAATTAGAATTAGAAAATACTAAAAAAACAACAGAACTTGTTAATAAAAATGCCGAAGTAAAAGTTACAGTACTAAAGGAAAAAAGAAGTAAAGCTGTGTCAAATCAAAAATTATACAGATTGAAATGTACACGAGATTTTACAATGAACACGCCATTTAAATTTAGAAAAAATGAAAAAAATAAACGTACAAATATTATAGTGACATTAAAAAAGAAATCACCCCATAGATTTGATAACAGAGTATTAAAAAATTTAAGAAAAAACTTAATTAATGACAATCAAAAATCGAAAACATCCAATCCTAGCAATGCTCATGAACTTAAAGATAAATTATCGAAGGATTATAAATTTTACCAGCAATACTTTAATAGCAAATATAATATGAAAAAGTACAGCTCTATGCTAACATCTAACACTAAACTGGTCAGTAATGGAGACCTAAAGACGTTGTATCGATGTTCCAGTGATCGTTACCATAAATCTGGTTTGTCAAACTACCTTAACATATATAACTTACTTTAGTTTAAGTAAAAGTGTTATACAGGATGTATTGAACCATCAAAGTTTAATCTAGTTTGAATAGAAGTTACATACAGGATGTATTAATATAACAAAGTTTAATCTAGTTTGAATAGAAGTTACATACAGGATGTATAAATATACCAAAGTTTAATCTAGTTTGAATAGAAGTTAAATACAGGTGTATTAATATACCAAAGTTTAATCTAGTTTGAATTGAAGTTAAATACAGTATGTATAATTACACCAACATTTAATCTAGTTTGAATAGAAGATAAATACATGATGTATTAATATACCAAAGTTTAGTCTAGTTTGATTTGAAGTTACATACAGGGTGTATTAAAATACCAAAGTTTAATCTAGTTTGAATAGAAGTTAAATACAGGATGTATTAATATACCAAAGTTTAATCTAGTTTGAATTGAAGTTAAATACAGTATGTATTAATATACCAAAGTGTAATTTAGTTTGAATAGGAGTTGAATACAGGATGAATTAATATACCAAAGTTTAATTTAGTTTGAATAGGAGTTGAATACAGGATGTATCATTTAACAATTGTTTTCTTTATTGAGTCAACTTTGGTTACTATTTAGTTTGTATTTGTTTTTGAATAGAAAACTGACAGAATATAAGTTGGTCGTGTTTATTTATTATTTAAATTAAATATTATGTAGTTAATTAGATATAAAATTACTAGTATATTTTGCACAATTATTAAAAAAAACATTGGATATAGCATGAGTTCCCGATTGAGTAGTTTTTGTATGAATGAACTTTAAACCCTTATGTAAATTGTGTGTATTTCATTGTTTTTCTCCTTGTTATGTTGATTTAGTTCTTATGTACAGTGGCGGTTAAATGTTAAATGAATAAAAACAAAGACCCGTTAACTTTTAATCTGTTCTTGATAAAATCCCTTACTTCCTTCAATTAGTTCAGAACTTTCTCTTTTTTTTCTTCCAGGCATTTGATTTGGCACCTCTGGAATATGTCAAAACAAAAGTCAAATACCTTATTGCCCTTGATAATCTATTAATATCTATAATCTGCTTTGTTTTGTTAATATTCTTTTGTCATTTCTAAATTATTAATATTTTCTTTACCGGTTCTGACTTAATTGGTCATTTAATATACTTAAATATAATTTTGTGGTATATTTGACCGCCACTGTCAACACCCCAATACCTTGCAGGGCTGGTTAGCCCGACGGGTGCGCCCCTACGCGGCCCGCAAGCCGGCTTTGTGTCCGGCACCCCTGGCGGACGATTGGCTACTTGGATTATAGGTATGGTAGAATCACAAAAAATGGTCCTGCTTGTCATTGTAAAACCAAGAGTAAATTAAAATCTATATTTGTCAAAATTACAACAAAAAACGCCGGAGGGATTTTTTAATATCTGTCTAGTTTACCCCTTTCCTTGTATTGTTGCATGATTTTTTATAATATGTTCGTAAATTACAATTTCAAACAGTTTAATGATACTGTCAATGTCATAATTTTTTTACAAAAACCAAAATTGATTTTTATAACAGCCTGTATATGTGAAAGTGTGAACGTTTTTGCTGCCTACAATAAATAAAACGTCAAATCCAAGGTCATTTTTCTTTAAAATGCAATGGAAATTATGATCTCTATGTTTGCCGTTGTACAGATTCCGGTGGTCCACTAGAGAATGCATCTCGAGAGCTTGGACAAGCACAGCTGTCTGTGCAGCAGCTGCAGCGACTGCTGGATGCACTTGAAATGCAGCAGCAGGTGCATCATGATACTGATGTGAGTGTAACAACCAGCGGCATACACGCGTCGTGGACGCGTTGACGACGGGAACAGGATTTGGGAGAAAAATTACCTTTTGTTAACTACAGATGTTAGCATCATCAAGAGTGATAGTAGCACTAAATATGCCATGGATACACTTTATTTATATAAACAGTACCACAGATATACTAAAAAAAATTATAAACAAATTTTGTGGACTGTAGCCATAGCAACGACTTCTGTCAAATTTCATTCGAAAAATTGAAAAATAGTTTTTTTTTTATTTCATAAATTATAACGAAAAAAAATCTTTTTTACATCTGTATATTCCAATTGCGAAACTTATGATTTTTAATTCTGGCACTCTCAATAACGAATACTTAATTTTTTTTTTTTAAATCTCTACAATGAAATTTGACAACTGACAGATGACATTACTCTTGACGCTGGCGCCGTCTAGAGCCTTTAGTTTTTCTTCCTATCATCTTAATATTATAAATGCGAATGTTTAAATCGATGGATGGATGGATGTTTGTTTGAAGGTATCTCCAGAATGGCTGAACAGATCTCACTGTCAATTAGCATATAACATAGTCTGGAAGAACACATAGGCTCTTAATTCCGCGCGGACGGAGACGCAGACAACTAGTTAGTTATAAAGTAGGATAAACAACATACTAGCGCCGTCTCGAGGTTTGCAGTTAAAAATGTTATGAATTTAATTTAGTTTAAACTTTTAACTTGTCTTTATATCCAGGTATCACTGGAAGGTGCATCTCCTAATGTAAAGAAGGACCGACGTAAGTTCGGTTTAAGAAAAAAGAAATCAAATAGCAAATGCGCTTCCGTAGAACTACAGCCTCCACATATTGATCCATCTAATTCTCATATGGTATGTATACAGGTGTTACAATATTCATTTTTGGGGTTCCGTATCTCGAAAGGAAAAAAACGGAAGCCTTATAGGATCACTATTTTCCGTCCGTCTGTAAGACAAAACTATTTTACTAAAAATTTGAATGCGAATGTCTCGATGGTTGGATGTTTGTTAGAAGGTATCTCCAGAATGGTTCAATGGATCTCGCTGAAATTTGACATACATATAGAACATAGTATGGAAGAACACATAGGCTACTAATTAAGTTTTTATTTTCCTCGCCTACGGAGTTGCGAGCAGCATCTAGTTTTAAATATATTTCTCAGGAATTAAGACCTTTTTCAGACTTTTAAAATGCATTTTTTATTTTTTTGTCTTTCCAGGCTCTGTCAGCACTGACAGCTCCCCCCTCCCCCGGAGGTGGTGCTTCCTCCATTCCCAACTCTGCGGCGTCTCTGCCCATAGGTGAGTGCCCCTACACCTCCTCCTAATGCATTGTGTGTGTTAGTTGCTTCCCTAGGTTTAAATGTGCGCATAATAAATTAATATAATTGGTTTTAAAACGAGATGGCGATGTTCTTAATTTTTTTTTTTGACGTATATTAAATTATCGAATCTTCTTTTATAAGGAAAATTTTGTGGGTAGTCGAATAAATAATTTATGTAAATATTTATCTATAAAATTATATGACAAAGACGAAAGATTTGTTTGTCTGTATGTTTCTTTACATTAAGCAGGATCTGAAACTGAACTGATTTGAAATATTTTCACAGTTTCCCGGGTGTCATAGGCTGTATTTATTAGATTTTTATGTTGCGCGGACAAAGTCGCGGGCACTTGCTAGTTATATTATATTTGTTATGCGCATATATGTAAATGATGTATGTTTGTTTCTAGTGAAAGTGTTGTGTCGTGACAAGTTGAACCCTTCTTTGGATACAGGCACATTTCCCGCTTGACAATGGATACCTACCACTTTATCAACGTAGTTCTGTCTAGATGTGTCATGTTATGTGTTCGTGAATGAATAAATTATTAATTAAAAACATAGTTTTTGTTTGTCTAGATTTTAGTATTAAATGTTGTTTTTAACTATGTCTTCTCGAGGATTCTACGAGATTGGTAAGTCTACGTCGACCATGTACCAACATGGCGGCGTATACACCTCTCTGTCACACATTGCACGATAGAAAGAGAGAGCATGTGCGTTCCATCTTTGTAGATGACGTGCAGTAGACAGTTCGCGCCTTTTACATCTGTCAGAATATTTTTGTTGCTTCATGAATTTAAAAAAAACAAATAACATTAATTTAATTTAAAAAAAATGCATGGGATTTTTTTTAATTCCAAATATTAATTTTATATATTTAAATTCGAAATTATTTGTAAAAGAACTAACATTCGCTTTAATTAAGAAAAGCTTTCGATCTATGATTTGACTATTTTTTTTAAATATCGTTTTTCCATTATTTATAGAAGAAATCATCAGGAAATTTGACATAAAAAAAAAACAAAAATTCTAATTTTAAACTTTTCTCGTTTTGCCTTCCAGCGTTTCTTTCGACATTTCTGGCCACCACTTTAGTTCGTAAGACTGATTTTTATTTTCTCTTTCTACCCCATACACGTGTCCCTTTCACGCATGATCGGTCAAGTCACAAGCAAGCGAATTACGTCTTTAAAATATACACATAAAGTATAAAATCGAATTTATAGATGCATTTTATTTTAATCTATAAAATAGACATTACTGACAACATATTCAATAAAAAAAATATAATTATTGTCTATTTTATAGAATAATAATGCATGTTCTTTATTCAAAAAAATTTAAAATTAATTAGAAACTTTATACGTCTATAGCTATGGGTCATTTTTTTTAAATGCCCAATATTTTATTCACATTTTTAACACGTTCACTGTTCGCTACACACCCTACTAAGTAACGTAACTTCTACGTTAAATTTGTTGTGGCATTCAAAGTGTTAAGCAAAAGTATCACTTTACACTTTAATTTATAAATGAGAAATACACATCTATTTATACTAAAACTCTCTAACTGGTTGGTTTCTGAGACTAAAATCTCTGTATAAAACGGAGATAAAAATATGTTTTAAACGTAGATTTTAGTCTTAGAAACCCACGATTAGGCAATTACAATTAGTCTTTATGTCTTTGTCACATTGCTTTGGAAACGCTTCGAAAACTTTAAAAGTATTTCTCAAATGTAATGCCTTATTTTAACCATACTCTGCCATATACTATATTTAAATTATATACTTCTTACTAATATTATAAATGGATGGATGTATGTTTAAAAGTATCTCCAGAACAGCTGTATGGATGTAGCTGAAATTTGACATACGTATAGAACATAGTTAAGAACACATAGGCTACTTTTTTTTTTAATTCCGCGCAGACGGAGTCACGGGTGACAGTTTTATAAGTCATATGCTTAACCACTGAGCTATAACCGCTTATTTTTTGACACAGTTTTATATTGTTTACTTCACATCTTTAATCTTAGTAACTGGGTTATCACTGATAAGAAAAGATAATCTTCAGATTTAGTTCTCAAATATATTATACAATTTTGAACTTTAAAACTATATTAGTAAGGTTGATTTTTCAATAGCAATACAACATAGCTGTGTAGTCAAGGAAGTTTGCGTGTTTTCTTATAAGTCTGTCTCTTTCACACGGTTGTGATTAAAAAGAGATAGATTGTGTGTTCACATGATTGTCGTAATACTTATTGTCCATTGTGCAAAGATTTTCTAATTTTATTAATTATGGAAATAAACTTTTAATAAATTGTGATGTTTTTCCGTGATGTAATTTTTAGATATTTCGTGTGATTTTTTTTGAAGATGTCTTTTCATAATGGTATTATATTGCCGATAGGTAAAATTGTGTTCAATTATATATTGAAATTAATAAAGGAATGCGAAAAGGAAACATGTGAGTTATATTAAATTAAATAAATAAAATTTGATATTTTAATTAAAAATTATAAATATAATAAGTAAATATATAGTAGAATTTCTAAGTATATAAATAAAATAAATAGCATATTTAGGCATATAGTTAATTTATATAAAAACGGCTAAAACACTCACGTATATAAGTCCGGCGGCACCGACTAGTTTCGAGCCCATCGGGGGCCCTACATCAGGTTTTCTAGTCGGTGCCGCCACCGGACGAATATACGTGTATAAGTTTGAATAATTTAAAGGCCTATAGTTGTTATATGAATAGCATGTATAAAATACTTTTAAAACAATGAAATTAATTTGAAATGACTTAACTTCCATACGATCGTAAGGTGACGGCACCGACAAGTTTCGGACCCGTAGGTTCCATCTGCAGGCCGAGTGTTTGTGCCGTCACCGGTAGTTCAAAATTCAGTTAAGTCGTTCCTAAAATCATCAAAACATTAATATTCCCCACATCTAGTATATAAGTATCGTTTAGTTAGTATATTATGTGTTTAGAATTCATTGTATATAATTCCGTTTATGTACGCAATGACTATAGGTGTAGGTTAACCGTAAGGTTCCACTGGCGAAATATGCTATTGTGTTATCGCAGTGAGAACGCAGAGTTAAATATATACCTAGGTAGTAATATTGTAAGTTCTATTGAATACTAGTAATTTAAGTAAAAGTTATAAGTAGAGTTAATATTTATACGTATTTTTATAGCATTGTGTATTTTACTGTGAGTTTTTATTACCGAAACATTGACACGAACATGTTGTGATATATTTTTTTTAATATGCCATACGATAAAATAAATGACAATTTATTTGGCATGTTGCTATAAGCCGAAACACATTTTTAAGATGTTTTCTCACATGTATACATTTTGAGAGCATTCAAAGTGTTAAAACGTAACCTTTATGTTGTTTAGCGTGTGCGGCAACACGGCCGCAGTCGCTGCCGGGGGCGGAGGCGCTGGCTACCACTGGAGGCGTTTCCCTCGCCAGTCTCACACCTGATCATCAGATCAGAGAAGATTTCACAGTTCTCGCCAAAGATCTGGTGGCCAGCTTGAAAGGGATAGTCGCTACATTGGTAAGTTATAAGTTAATTTTATGTAATTGCTAAGTCATGGCAAGTTTTTCACGTATATAACAACGAATTTATCTGACCCTATAGCAATAAATCAAACTGAATAATAAAAAAAAATCTTGACGGACAACAAAGTGATCCTATAAGGGTTCCGTTGTTTTCCTTTCTAGGTACGGAACCCTAAAAAATGTCACAAGATAATTGTCGTACTGCAGTAGCTTGTCTTGTCAGTTTTTTTTCTTTTATGTCATTTTCTATGCCCATGTAGGTTTTACATATTCTGTGACAATAGTAACCTAAGACCTGCAAGTGCCTTACATAAATACAATCAAACCGGGATAAGCGAGAGTTCAAGGAACCACCATAATTGTAGAGTATATACGTTTATAGAGAATTTTCGTTTAACTTCGATTGTTCATTTCAATAACTTTACGATGTTAGGTGTGCGAGCGAGGCAGACTGCGCGCGGTGGCGGAGGCGGGCGAGGGCGCGGGAGGGGCGAGTCTCGCCGCGCTGCGCTCCAACCTCTCCACTGCATTGCATCAGAACTCCGGTGAGCCGATATCCGCCCCACACCTGCCCCACACATGCCCCACACATGCCCCACACCCGCCCCACACATGCCCCGTACCCGCTCTACATCCGCCCCACACACGCCCTAAATCACATCTACACTCGCCACACAAACGCCCCACACACGCCCCACGTCCGCCCCACACACGCCCCACACCTGTCATTTTTAAACATTTATACTACCCCTGCAATAAACAAACTTCAAAGAACTTGTCTAATTTCAATTTATTTACTCACATTGCTATTATAAAGTATTCAAAGATATGACTAATAATTGACATAGCAAGGACCTTATCGCTACAAGCTATCTCTTCCAGCAATCCAGTGGGACATCACAGTGACATAAATATGATATATAATCAATAGATCATTTGTACATGTCTGTAAGTCTGGTATTTAATTAATGACTGGAGAAGTTTACAACACAGAGCTGCGCTCGCGTCTCTCCCGGATACACGACGCGTCAGACCTCGCTGAGATATCCTCTATGGGACATAACTCGGAACAGGTTAGTTGACATAGCCAAAGAATTTAATTCCCTCCCCACATACATCAACAAACTTTGAATTTTATAACTTATACAGAATGTACAGTTTGTTACGTAAATATGTATACATTTGATGACTAGCTGACGCCCGCGACTGTGTTCGCGTGGGATTAAAAAAAAAACTTAATATGTGGTCATGCGTTCTTCCAGAATATGTACTTTCAGACATTATTAGTTAGAATCCTTTGGCGCGAATGATGCGTTTTCATTACAAAGTCAAGTGTCACATTTTAGTTAAGCTATTGTTGCGCCAGTACACCGGCACTGTGCCGGATTTTCTTGCTAACAGTACATATATGCCGAATTTCATCAGTCGTTCAGTCGTCGAACTCCATCCATCCAAACATTCGCATTTATAATATTAACAAAAATATTTACAGACTCGTCAGTTCCAGCAGTCCCTGAGTTACAGCTCGTCTTGTGTGTCAGCCTCGGAGTTCTTCGATGCTGAGGAGCATGAGGACTTGAAGCCGGAGATCATTGATGCTGACGAGGTAATGTGGCCGCTACGACTTAGTTCTTCAAGAATTGAGCGTATCACCATCTCAAAGGCAATATCTGCGGTGCCTCTGGTATTGCAGATGTTTATGGGTGTCGCAGAATACCTCCCCTAGTTTGCCCCCTACTCTTATAGAAAAAAAAAATGCTTTATAAGTATACAATTAAATAAAAAAACTTCATAAGTAGCCTATGTGTTCTTCCAGACTATGTTTTACATCTATTCCAAATTTCAGCGAGATCCCTGCATTTGTTCTGGAGATGCTTTCAAACATCCATCCATCCATCGAAACATTCGCATTTATAATATTAGTAAGATGTATGTATGTATATGTTACAGGGCGGTGTGATAGAGCTGGACGGGGACTCGTCCTCGGAGGCGGGCTCTCTCAGCAGCGAGGAGGGGTCCGCCAGCTCCGACAACTCTGAGGCCCCCAGTCAGTGTAAATAACATTGTAAACATTACTGCTTTATATACAGCTTATATATTTCTTTTATTACATAAGTTTTAATTATACATAATATTGATTACTTATATTTATGTTAATGTATAATAAAAAAATGTAAAAAATCATGAAATTCGAACGAAAATATGGGAAGTGATCTTTCCGGATGAGAGGATGCATGGAAAGGGAAAATATTTTCTCTCTGTGCATCCTCTCCTCCGTCGATGAAAGGTAGGCAACGCATATGCAATTGCCACTTCGCTATTTCAGCGATTTCAAGTGGTCGTTCGCTCGTTTATCACCTTATGATATAAAAAAAACAGAGATAACGATATGTTTTAAACGGAGATTTTCGTCTCAGAAACCCACGATGATTCTCTTTAATTGTCTGTTTTAGTGGTGACAGCGGAGCCTGTGTCCCTGCTGAATACAAACGGCGGTGTGTGTGTGCGGGGGGCGGTGGGTGAGGGGTGGTCGCGACGCACCCGCCTGCCCAGTCCCCGCCCCACACCCGGTGGTCCCAGCCTCTGGAACCTGCTCTATAAGAACATAGGCAAAGATCTCAGCCAGATATCTATGCCGGTTACAATCAATGAACCGCTTAATATGCTGCAGGTAATTGGAAATAAAAAAAATCTTTGTGGGGTCTCTTGAAATAGTTAAAAGTGTGTTTTGGGAGACAACGCCTTTAAATATTATATTATTTAATAGTGGTAGAGTAAGTAGAAAAGGGAAATATTCTCTTCTGTGAGTCCCCTACTCTGTAGGTTGAATTTATGGTCATTGGTCTTCGCTAATTTGGCGAATTCAATTGGCAACATGACTAAAAATATTAAAAAAAATCCAACCCTACTAATTCATTATTTTTATAAATAATAAAGTATAGATTGATGTATGAATGTGTGTCATTCTTAAATCTAAAAAAAATTGTGTGAATGTTGTATGGATGTTTTGTTTTTTCTAATAGCTTAAAATCTCGAACCGAATATCTGCTACATTGTAAGCGAAAAAACAACACAGTTTTTAACATAGATTTTTTTTCTCATGTCCCAATTTTGGCGAATAATTTATGAGCAAAGCCCAATTATACTTTTTTGATATTTCCAGAGGTTATGCGAAGAGCTAGAATATTCAGAATTGCTAGATCTAGCAGCTAACAGTGAGAGCGGTGTGGAGCGCATGTCTCTGGTGGCTGCATTTGCGGTGAGCGCGTACGCGGCGACCGCACACCGCGCCGCATCTAAACCCTTCAACCCTCTACTGGCAGAGACCTACGAGTGTGTCAGAGAGGACAAGGGCTTCAGATTTGTTGCTGAACAGGTACAGTCAGGACACTTCGCGGTGTTACACTTACAAAAATATCACATAATACCTAATTAGGTAATAGTTAGTTGCACAAACAACGCCATAATAGTAAAAGTCGTACAACAACTGAGTTTTTTCGCACAGATAATTTAAAAACTGTCTTCTGATGGTTATTTTTTCACCATAATTTTCTCAATGCTTACGAATTGTTTAAATTACAGTCGCTTTTAAAGTGGAATACCGCCATTTTCCCCGATAGTACTTAACAAAAAGTGAATTTCAACTGCACTACACGTGTATTGATAGATGTTGTTGTCCCTGTTTTGTCAAAAAGGATGAATAGGATATATATTTCTAACACAGACCTGTTTTTTCTCCAGGTGTCGCACCATCCCCCCATATCTGCGTGCCACGCGGAATCAGCTCGCTGGAGTTTCTGGCAGGAGGCGCGCATCCGCACCAAGTTCTGGGGCAAGTCTATGGAGTTCCAGCCTGCAGGCCGCGTGCACGTGCGTCTGCATACCACTGGAGACCACTTCACATGGAACAAGGTAACATACTGAATAACTCACCCACAAGTAGATGGTGCTAGCGTTAAGAGTGGGTTGTTATGTCATTGCGGCGATTTTTTTTGTTACAATTAATTTAGTAAGTGTTTTAAAAAGATCATTAATTATTGGAGTGCAATTGGACGTCGTTGTAATGACTACAGTCCAACTAATATATTCCAAATTACATCTACATCTATGCCAAATTTCAACGAGATTTCGCTCTTCTGGAAATACGTAACAAACATCCATCCATATCCAAAGTTATGCATTTATAAGTATAATGTATGTATGTATGTGTGTGTGTAGGTGACGACGTGTGTGCACAATTTGTTCGGCGGACAGCGCTGGGTGGATCAGTACGGCGATATGCACATCGCGTGCACCGGCACAGACATCACCTGCAAACTCAACTTCGTCAAGGTAACTGACGTCACATCTACATAATTAGGTCCATATAAATGATCGCTAGTATATCATATTCTTATCTGAGTACTTTCAACATAGAAAAAACTTTAAAATAATTTTAATGTAATTTTTCATCATAGCTATATGACATAAGCTATCTTTTTTATATGACGTCTCTTTATTTCCAAATTACTACTGAATAATTAAAAAAGCAAAATGGCGTAATGTCCGCCATGTATGAAATTTGCAAGTATCTGTTTACTTAATTTTGATTTTGAGATTATTGTGATACTTTTTCTGTATATTTCAGGCAAGTTCGTGGTCGAGCAGCCGGCACGAGGTGCGCGGTGCAGTTTCCTGGTCCGGAGGTCGGCTGCGTCTCGCCGGCCGCTGGTCAGAGACCCTCACTGCAGGAGACCCGCCTAAAGCCAGGTGTCTCTGGAGACCAGGTACAGTCACCTCCAGCAACGGTACCCTACTTACAATAATAATTATTTCTTAATTAAATAAAAAAAAATGTTTGATTGTACTATTATTATACTCAATGGCACTTCACTTATGACATTGAAGTCAGTCAGGCCTACATGTTATTATGGATTTTTCATACATACAAACTTACGCGCGACAAATATTACCTTCCCGAGTCAAATAGGTAAAATATATCATCAAGTAATTCTCTCGGAAAAAAATGTTAACAAAATATGTTTATATACTAGTATTTGAGCAATGTAAACACGTTGTAGGTGCGATGCCGCCGGAGCACGAGGATTATTACGGATTCACGCGATTCGCCATGGAACTGAACGAACTGGAGCCCGGCATGAAGGATGTGCTGCCACACACAGATACAAGGCTTAGGTAACATCTGCACACATAAATATCCCTTAGTGTAACTAAGGAAAATAGGAAATATATGAAAAACTCACACTTTTTGGTGTACAGTCAAACCTGGATATGCTAGAGATAAAAGGATCGCTTTATATTTCTCGTTAGTTTCTTTCTAATCAAAATTTCTCGCATGTGGAGGTCATCCGTAGGGAATGGTCAATGACGCTCGCTTATAGAGGTTTGACTGTGTTACACTTAGCTTTGCAAAAGTTGTAACTACGGCTAATGTCGATAGATTTTGGTCCTTCAAGCAGGACATATCTTAATACTTTGGAAAATCTTTTGTAAGACTTAATATCACTTCCTAAGTATTGTATAATTGCAGGCCGGACCAGCGCGCGCTGGAGGAAGGTGATGTGGACAGAGCGGAGCAGCTGAAGCACCAGCTGGAACAGGCGCAGCGCGAGCGCCGACGTGAGGCACCAGACCACACGCCCGCTTGGTTCCGGTCAGTTTACAATGTGACGGCACTATTTTTCTGACACTGCAATTTTATTTATATGATTTTAGACAATATTAGTTACAATCATTTGGAGCGAATGGCGCACTTTTATTACCAAGTCAAGTGTTAGATCGATTAGTAAGGGTCATGAGCGTTGATATTTTAATAAGGCTAGTGTTGCGGCGATACACCGGCACAGTATCGGTTTTATTCCTAACAGTATAGATAGTTCAACAGTATAGTATTTTTGTTTAATTCCGCGCAGACGAAAATGTAGCAAGAGCAAGTATGTGATAGTGGTTATTGTTGCAGAAAAGTGACAGAGGGTGGCGAGGAAGTTTGGGTGTTCACAGGAGAGTACTGGAAGGAGCGCGAAGCTGGCTTCCCCGGACTGCGCGTGCCTGCCATCTGGTGACCGCGTCTCGCTATACATGTACGTACATATTACTAATTAATTATTAATTATAAATGCGAATGTATGAATGGATGTTTGTTACTAAGTATTTCCAGAACAGCTGAATATATCTTACTGAAATTTGACAAACACATAGGCTACTAATTAAGTTGTCTACTTCCGCGCGAACTGAGCCCTCGCTGAAAGTATAACACCGCGAACTGACCTGACTGTACATATACAGAATACACGCTTAGACAAAAAAGAAATATAACTTTTTTTAATTACGTCCGTAGAAACTAACGTTTATGGTTGAAAATGCTTAACTACCCTACATTTAATTGTATTTTCTCATTTCAGCGTATACCGGCTTGCGAGCTACTCTGCTAGCTTCTTAGCTTCGGCACACGAATATAGCCTCTAATATTTCTTAACTATTCCTTATATTGTACTAAATTAGTTGAAGACATAAGGGCGAGATTTGTATAACATTGATTACGTAAAGCTTATTGTCACAATAGACACTGTAATAGTTCCTTAGTACAGGTTTAGTTACAGGAAACACTAACTAAGGCACTTATCGTTGGTTTCTGACAACGAAATTCGTCTTTATATGTTTTATAGAGATATTTGGCCTCAGAAACCTACGGTTAGTCTACTTAAACATTCACTCAGTGTATATTTGTATTAAATCTACATTAAGGGACTCCTATAATGACCAGTTAATGAATATGAGTTTGGTGGAAACTACATAAATTATATTTCATGCTAAAAGTATTTCGTATTTTACCATTTTGATATTTTTGTTAAGTTCATATAAATATTTGGACTTGAATTTTATTATTGTTGGTTGTCTTAACTTTATTAAAGTTTTGAATTACTAAGTCTTGTCTCTGAATACAATTTAACTATGAGTCTGTAAAATTATCAACTACACAGGATGTTCTAAAATTTTATTCAATTTCAAAACACCCTGTAAATCCAGATTTCATAATTTAAAAGTAACTATCAATGCAAATTTATTTTAAATATAAAATCTATGTTTATTGACTTATTTTGTCCAATAGCGTCAACATTTTGATGCACTGTCTACCTCAAAAACGTAAAAGGCGTAATAAAACGTCTTTAAATATTTTTTTTTGTAAAAATTCTTTCAATTTTAAATTTTGCTTATTATATAAAGGGCTTTCTATTATTTGTATAAGAACCTTTTTCTCTTAACTTCTCGTCTAGTGGAAAAGGACATGAAATATTTATCAATGATGTTGTAAATACAGTGTGTTTCTAAATTACGGCTGTGAAATGTGAAATTTTCAATAGCTTTTTTTATTTATTTTAAATGTATTTAATATTATTTGTTTTAATTTCCTAAAAATAGGAAGCAAAAACTATCTTTTACAACGTCAAAGACGTTTTGGCATAATACTAATATCAAACGCTAAAATCGTCACGGAATAAAAAAAACACTTTTTACAGCTGTCAAAGTGACGTTAGTGACGTAAATCAAGTTTTTAATTCCAAACGATTTGGTATATATCGATATAAACTTTTTTTTTATTTTCTATGATGTTTATTGCCTTGTTAACGGTCAAATTAAGCTTAATAATTTATGATATTAAATAATGAATTAAATAGAATATAACTAACGCCATTATATAAAATAATATACTTATTGTGGGTTTCTAAGACTAAAATATCTATATAAAATATATCGTCAAAACAGATCACAATATGTTTTAAATGGTGATTTTGTCCTCAGAAACCCGGTTTAATGATAATTTCAATGCAATATAAATGAACATGTAAAGTTTTGCAACATGCTGTGAACTGTCAATTGCGGAAGGCTGTTAAGTAAAGTTTACACTGCACAAAATCATTCGAGAGTTTTTAGTACTACATGGAGATTAATAAAACTATAACCGTGGGTCTCCACTGCGGATAATAGTTTCAAGATAATTAAAGGGTTACCTGATGTATTGCAGTGGAAACGCACTTTAAACAAAGCTTAAATATCTAATAATAATAGTACAAATGAATAGTGTTGAAATTAGTATATTAACCCGAAAGTTACAGGATGTTCCTTTTATAATTTTTAATTTCTTAATATTCGTAGAATAATGTGCCTTATGTACTTTTCAAAGGTTTAAAATAGATGCTAGCTAATATATCTAAACTCCATGTAGTACTTGGATTTTGACTGCAGTGGTACTTGTATTAATATTGTTTTTTTTATATAATAATGTGGCAAACGAGCGAGCGGTCACCTGAAATCGCTGAAATAGCGAAGTGACTACCCATAAACATACGCAATTGCATATGCGTTGCCTACCTTTAATCGACAGAGCAGAGGATGCACAGAAAGAAAATATATTCCCTTTCCATGCATTCTCTCATCCGGAAAGTCCACTTGCACGTTCCATCATTTCCTTATAAGAAAAAAGGTGGGAAGGGAAAGAGGTCTAAATTAGGCCTCCGGGACGCCTGTTGTCTCTGTCTTGTCAAAGCGTGTGAAAGAGATGACAATATTAATACAATTGTCACCGCAGTTAACTCTTGCTTGCTATGGCGGCTAAGCGCTTTTGGTATAAAATTCTTCTCTATAAACCTATAGGATATATTTGATGTTGTTGATAGTTGTTAGGTTTTATCGTGATTTTTCATCGCTGAAATAAAAACATAATTAATTTCTCTTTAAAAAAAAATATGGTTATATGTTTTTGTACTCGTGTTTCCGTGAAAACTCACGCTTAGGGTTTTTGTATAATATATTGTGTGATGTTTTTTTTCTTAATAATTAACGCTTCATTGACAATTTTTATCATCCTGTATATATTGCTCTCTTTTTTTTTTCTTTGCAGTTAAAGATTTAAAGGTGTTAAGCTTCTTTTCTTTATTAATAATTGCTTTTTTTTATTTAAAAGTACTAATAAGAAATTTCCTTGTGTATTCAAAATGTGTTAAGTGTACATTTTTCTAATTTTTTAAGCATTTTAAAAGCTTAAAAAGTATAGATTTTTTTTTTATTTATTTGTTCTAGTCATAACTTTTTAAAGTATGATTTCTAGAACTTATGTGATAGTTTTCTTAATCCATGTCAATACGTATATAATATGTTATTTACTATTTATGTATTTATATACTAATGTTATAAATAGGAATGATTTGATTGTTTCCATTAAATACGCTACGAAACAGAAAGGATTTATAAAGTTCTTTCACTGTTGGGAAGCTACACTATCCATGTTTGATGTTGGATTTTATTATTAGATTTTTTTTAATTATGCGCGGACAACGTCAGGTGCAACTACTTGTCATATAGCTTTAGTGCTAATTCATCACCAAGGGGCTCGGAGCATACACTAAGTTAAGGGTGATTAGGCCATAGTCAACCACCGCTGGCCAAGTGCAGTGACTTCACACATATCTTTGAATTTCTCAGATATGTGCAGAATCACGATGTTTTCCTTCCTAAGAATGTCGGATAAATGTAAATCGGAAATCGAAAAACACATTGGTACATGGCGGGATTCGAACCCAGGACCTGTAGATTACAAGTCAAATGCTTGACCACTGAGCCACCGACGCTCTATAATGCTACAGTATGTTGTTTATTATTTATATTTTGGGATAAAATTTGACAATGAAGCGTATCATTCCTTTTTGTACAAGTACGGGTTTTTTTGGTTGTTTTTTTTTATAGTACCCAGTATTTTGGAGTCACGTGTAATCTTTAAAATATTATAATACTGTCACTTAAAGACAATAAGGATGTTTCTTGTATAATATTGTTAATGTTACTGTTATGGATAAAATATATTGAAATTAAAAAAAAATGCAGCTTGGTATTTTTAAAATTTTATCAAATATGCACATTGCTATCATGTTTGGCCTATTTTGAAAGCAATTATAATAATAATTACAATTTTTTTTTAAATATAAGTGAGTTTTTTTTTATGAAATAAAGACAAAATCAAACCTCGTAATACGTTGGCATTCCAACTGTTTACAATTGTTATATTTTTTTTTAATTCGTTTTTAGTATTTTTTTTTTGTTTAATAAGCTTTATAATGCAATTGTGTATTTGTGATTTCATTAAATGACATTTAGAGTCAATTGAATTTTTTAAATGTTTTATTTTGTTAGCTTTGGCTGTATGGTCAGAAGACCTTTGCCCGCTTAGCGAAAAAAAATGTAACTGTCATTAATGTCAAAAGTTGTTTTTTTTATGTTTTTTTTTATTTTGTTATTTAATGCAATGTAATCGTGGTTTTTTTATGTACAATTTATTCAATGCTTTTTAAAGTACTTAATATACTGTTGTAAATGTAATATTTATTTCAATTTTACTGGTGCGCTGTTTTTTTTTTATTGTACAAAAAATTTTTTAAGCTGTGAATTCCAGTTTTGACGTAATTCGATTATATGTTTAAGAATTTTTAATTATTAACTTTTATCATAATTATGGGGATAGGAGTAATCGGTGATATTGTAAAATCTTTTTCAATGTATATTTACATAATGCAGTATAAGTGCCTTTTTAACATTTATTTTTCGTGTCCAAGAGAGAATTAATAGGTAGATGGCTCTAAATAATAATTGTATCATTTTTATATAAATAAACACACAGATAAACAACGATAGAAAATACTGATGAACATTTATTTCTCTTTTTACAGTAAAAAAAAAATTAAACAGTACAAATAAATGTTATTTTGAAGTGGCTATTATTTTTTTATAAATTTAATGTGTTCAGGTCGTTTGCTTCTACATATCTGAGAGCCTATCACGAATATTTTCGATACGCACCTTCGTAACGTTATTGATAAAGTATGTCAAAATTTGTATGAGATTTAAACTGATATATAAACACCGCTAAACACTCACGTAAAATTACCGTCCCGTGGCGGCACCGACTAGTTTCCTATATACCTATATACGTGAGTGTTTAGCCGTGTTTATATATCAGTTTAGTATAATGTCTCACGAAAGTTTGTATGAGATTTTTTGGTGTATTATACGCCCATTGCGGCGCTGCACAAATTTTATTTCAAATTTTGTCGATGACGTTACAAAATCGTTCTCACGAATATTCGTGCTAGGTCCTTGAGTTTACGAATCGATTTGTTAAATCGAAAAATGACAAGCAACATAAAATATCATTTAATTAATCTACGTAGTGTTGATAAATGACTAATCAGTTATTAATTAATTAATATTTTTCAATATATTTACATTAATTTAATAATTACAAAACATAAAGTATCTGAAGTGAAGTTCGACAATTTTGTTTTTTTTTTCTTAAGTCAAATGTCATTTATTAACACTGCCCAGCCAAATAACCTAATTGAACTCACTTACTAAAATAATTATAAGGAAAGTTATATACAAAATAAATTGTCTTATTTATTAATGAAGGCTTCTCAATAAGTAACTATAGGCTAACGCGACAGCAAGTTACCGTGCTACAAATAAAATTTTGTTATGTGGTTTTGTTTAATAGCTGCATATAAGAAAATAAAGAAAAGTTCGATTTAATCAGCCTTTTATTTACTTAAATACCATTTTTATGTAACTTGGGTTTGGGAGAAGTAAAACAGTATCCTAATGTATTCTTCAATTAAGTTTACATACGATGAGAAAAATAAAACATCATTTACACATTATTTACTTTCAAATAAGAAACGACATATCACAATCTTAAAACGAGATAATTTCAGTATTTTATAATTTGTACATGGATATCCATGCTTTAAAATGTTAATGTGAAACGGAACGTAGACGTACGTTCAAAAATCTTACAGTTAGTGCTTTGCAACACAAATGTGTTTGTAGAATTTCAATAAAATAAAAGTTTTATCAAAACTACGTTCAAAAAAAGTAACATGTTTGTTTCAGTTTCGTCAATTTTAAATCACAAGCGATTAAACTATTATATTATAAATTATTCTAAAAGTTTCAGAACGCATTTTATCAAACAATGATTTGGCAAGTTGATTAGAAATAAAGAAAGAAAGAAAAGCATAGTGCTAACACCAGTTTGTTTAATTCTAAAGCTTTAATACTTTTAAGATCTTTTTTATATCACATTTTTACATTATTCAAAGTACAAAAACTAAATGTTACGTAATCCGATAAAGTGATATTTCAATTCAAACAGGTAAACAGTTTGAACTTAGCGCTCTAGATTACACGTTATTTTTATCTTATTTGTTTTGTATATTGTCATTATTAATATTTATGTAAGCTATCATGTTAATACTTAATATATTTCCTAAGTTAGTAACTACAGTTAAGTGTTATCCATTGAAGTATGCAGGTAACTGACCTAAATTTATTTGTCGACTAGAATTTTTTTATTACTTTTTACTTTTACGATATTAAAATGTAAATAACGGATGTAATTATTGCACAAATAAGATTGCAGAATCGCTATACTTTAATATCTTGTCAATCATTATGAACATTTTTAACCATTAAACATTGTATAGGTTAGCTTCTCTATTCAAACTAAACTTGGTCATTAATTTATAGCATTAGTTAATAGTCATAGATGCAATGGTTTCTGCGACTCTGCATTGTATATTGCACATACTAAGTACATTTAATACATTCCAGTCTGCAGAATGTCAACTGCAGCGATGAATGTGAAGTTCCACTATGGGCTGACAGCATCAGACCCGGAAACACATCCGGTGCTGATTGTGGGCCAGGCCACACATCTGAATACACTTACATGGCAAGATGTACGCTGTAAACTTGAACCCAGAGTTACTGAAGAGGTACTAATTATTATTTAATTTATAATTAACTAGCTATTGCCCGCAACCCTGTCTGTGGAGGATTAAAAAAACTTAGTAAATAGCCTAAGTAATTATAGCTATGATCCTTAAAGTGTAATTAATCTATTATATAATACACACGGATTATCTTCATTATATTGAAGTCTTTTTTATAGTTAAAGAATTAAATTTTCTTCCCCCTTAGTTACAGCAGTCATCATAAGAACTATAATTCAACTTACATCTGTGTTACTGTATGTACAGTGTATGTTTGTCACATAATGTTTTTTTTTTCTCAAAGAAAATGTTCTGCGTTCAAGCTACTGTAATATTATTGTTCCGTATAGAGGTCCCCCACTTGTGGAGCTAGGCCATTAGGACAAAACAACAACTTTTTTGGTGCCCATGTTGACCGTTGCACATAGACATAAGCAACTGCATATGCATTGCCTACCTTAAATCGAAGGAGGAGAGGATGAAAAATCTTCCCTTTCCATGCATCCTCTCATCCGGAAAGTCCACTTTCACTTCCCATCCTCAACTCTCTTTTATATCAATTCAGACCCACGGTAAACAATAAAATAACTATTCCATCCAGGTATGGCAACGAGGACTAACAGTAGTATCTGGTGGTGATTCTTGCGAGCTATGGCCTCGTGGAGCATCACTCGCCGCACTACCTGCCCGGCGTTCACGTCACGCAGCACCCTCTAGAGGCCATGCTCTCTCCAAGATTGTGAAGAATGGACAGCGCGGTAATGCTAGCGAGGAATTTGTTGTGGTGAGTTATAATCATGTGTAACTCAAATGAAATAGATGACCTGTAGATCAGCTCACAATTGTGTGATGCAGATCACTGGTTTACAATTCAGCTCAATTTGTATTTGCATAGAGTTATGTCTTCCGAGCGGCGATCTGCTAGTCACCAAGCAACTCGAGGCTTGTCGACTTGCATAGTTATAGAATTTTGCGATGAGCTATGACCTGCCTATTTAGTTGTTGAATTGCAACTCAACAGTTCAAGTCTGTGTGACTTAAACTTTTGAATCAATTCAAAACTGATTTACGCATGTCTAGTTGTAGATATTCAATTAATAAAGTGACACTAAGATTATTATGCAAGTCAACATGTTAACTTGTGGGTTTCTGAGACCTAATGTCCATTTCAAACATATAGATATCTCTATTTTGTCAAAGACAGGGATGACAAAATGTTTTATACAACAAATCATACCTCAGAAATCAACCATGAATTTCTTATCTATAAATATACAATTGCAGTTTATACAATCTGAAGAATCAACATGTTGATAAAGGAGTTTCTATATACCTAATACTATTTTATAGTTGGTATGTCGCAAACAAGATGTACTGGCCAGTGCAGTAGCAATCGCCCGCGCGGTGCCTCAGTACTCGGCGCGTACGGACTCCGCCCCACTGGGCTCCTCGCCTGCGCCTCCTGAGCGCAGGGACCTTACTGTTGAGATTGTACTGGTCGCTGATGAGAAACGAGGTAAGTACTACGATATGTTCTTCTTGGCTTGATAATCCCTACCCTAATCCATTAACCGTGAGTTTCTTAAACTAAAATCTATGTTAAAACATATTATCGCAGTTTTGTCAAAGGTGATGTGGTAATTAGATAATTATGGTCTCAGAAACTTACCATAGGTCAGCATTTTTCAAAGTGTGCCAATTAAGGTCTAGGGAAGGTTTAAAATGTGACAAAAATCGCCGGAAACTAATAGCTTTTTTTGCATTATACGCGGACGGAGTCACGGGCGACAGCTAATGCTATATATTTATGTTTATAGAAGGTGAATCCGATGAGGAAGAATTGGGTGTTGTGGATTCAGTACTGCAAGAGACAAGTCTAAGTGATGGTGAGGTGCGGACACTGCAGCGGCTTGCAGATATGACACGTCTCGCTGCACGCATCACTGACACACCTGCTAACATCATGAATGTTGACAATATTATTGAGGTCAGTATACAATCCAACTGGCACTCCGGAGAAGATAAATCAAAGGGTACTTCATCAAAATCAACTTAATTGTTAAAACTTTAATATTGGTATAAGCAAGGAATAATCTGTTGTAAGAAGGGATGGAAAGGGGTAGTGCATTACATAGAAGAGGGGATGTAAAGGAAGGGGAATCTTTTTTTTGTCCGTCCCTTTTCTGTCATTTGCCCGTATGCAACATGTCTGCAACTGTGGATATCTATGGGCATTGGTCACTATTCGGCACATAATTGTGTACTTGTGAGAAACATTACCCTCAAGAGACTAACTTACTTAGATATAGGATAGTCACATGGTTAAAAAAAAGATTATTTTTGACTAATATTTAAATAATTTAACAGGAGGCGTTCACAGTGGCAAAAACCTTGAACATAGCAGAACCAACAGTGATCAGGGGCGAGGAGCTACTAGCTCGTGGTATGGGCGGATTGTATGGGGTGGGGCGTGCGGCTGCCCAGGCCCCCGCCCTGGTCTGCCTGTCGTACCTTGCGCCCGGGGCGTCACAGTCCGTGGCGTGGGTGGGGAAGGGCATAGTATACGACACCGGCGGTCTCAGTATTAAGGCAAGGGTATGTTTTATTATTGTGATGTCTTGTTTAGAGGCAATTTCCACTAGCGATTGCTATCTCTATGTATATCATTTCCACTGGGTTTTAAATATAACACAGATTCTTAAGTCGTAATATAGAGATTTTCTTGTATTTATGCTGTGCCCGCGACTCCATCTGCACTAAATTGAAGAAAAAAAACAGTCACTATCCTATATGTTCTTCCAGACTATGTTCTAGCTGTTCGGGAGATACCTTCAAACAAACATCCATCTAAACATTCGCATTATTACTAGCTGTCGCTCACGACTCCGTCCGCGTGGAATGAAAAAAAAAATTAACCAGTTCCCGGCAATTATTAGAATTTTTCTCACCTTTTAAACCTTCCCTAGACCTCGACAAACATTTCAAGACCAAGATAAGATAAATCCCTTCAGCCTTTCTCCAGTATTAATGTGACTAACGAACAGTATTTAATTTTATATATATAGATTAATAAGATATATGTTGTATGTACAGAGTTCGATGGTTGGCATGAAGGGTGACTGTGGTGGGGCTGCGGGTGCTCTTGGAGCCTTTGCTGCCTTTGTGTCGGAGCAGCCTGACATCAACGTACATTGTGTGCTTTGTCTAGCTGAGAATGCTGTCGGACCTAATGCCACCAGGTAACACCATGAAAAAATATTAACAGAAATTTAAAAAAAATAATTAGTAGACTGTGTTCTTCCGGACTATGTTCTATATGTATGGCATATTTTACCAAGGTCTATAGAGCCGTTCCGGAGATATCTTCTAACAAACATCCATTTAAATATTTGCATTTATAATATTCCTAAGATTTATATCAATATGAAATAAAAAAAAACAATACAACTAACAAAGATTTTAAAGAAAATTAAAATTGCCCCAGAAGGGGTAAAATTTTTAAGTTTTTAAAAAATGTCATTTATTTTTTTTAATACTTAGAGGGGAATTTTTATTTTATTTTTCCGGTGACCCTTGTAACCACCCCTATCATCCCCCTTCGTATGTACGTAACCTTTTGGGACACCTTGTAATTGTGATGCGTAAACACAAGTATTAATGAAAAATTATATTAATTGTTACAATTATTGTCATTTAAAACACAGCTAAACTTGTACTTGTCAAATTGATTAAAATCATTTTGATGTTAATGGCGACTTAAAAGCCGTGTTTTATTTATGAATCTGCAAACTCTAAAAATTTCAAAAGACACTTTATTTATTTATATTTTGTTAACAAAACACTTTGAATGTTCCAGACCTGATGATATCCATCGCCTGTACTCTGGCCGTACTGTTGAAATCAATAACACAGACGCTGAAGGTAATACAACATAATTAACTTAAATATAACACTAAAAAGCTTACATAGCTGTTGCCGACGACTCCGTCTGCGCAGAATTAAGAAAAAAACTTTATAGCTTATCTTCCAGACTATGTTCTACATGTATGCCAAATTTCAGCAAGATCCATGCAGCTGATCTGGAGAGAACTTCTAACAAATATCAATCATCCACACAGAAGACAGGCGTCAAGTGGAAGCAATTCCGCGTTTCGTCTGATGAGTGTGCGTCCCGGAGGCCAAAATTAGTCCTCTTTCCCTTCCCACCCTTTTTCTTATAAGGAAAGGATGGGAAGTGGAAGTGGACTTTCCGGATGAGAGGATGCATGGAAAGGGAAGATATTTTCTTTCTGTGCATCCTCTCCTCCGTCGATTAAAGGTAGGCAACGCATATGCAATTGCGTATGTCTATGGGCAACGGTCACTTCGCTATTTCGCCGCTCGCTCGTTTGCCACCTTATGATATAAAAAATAATTTATACATTCGCAGTTATAATATTAGTAAGATATCTTTAATTATCAGTAGTTATGTATGTCAGGACTATAGTATAGAGGTCCGTGGTCTCTGCATACCCCTCTGGGTTACATGCGTGATTATATTTGTTTCCAGGTCGTCTAGTACTGAGTGACGGCGTGGTGTACGCACAGAGAGACCTCAAGGCAGATACTATTGTGGATATCGCCACTTTAACTGGTGCTCAGGTTAGTTAGATTCTATTTTTTTTATCTAAGTCCCTCCCCTGGTAATCTCCCTCCTTCCGTCAGTATTTTCTATCTTCTCAAATGTGTTTTAATATAAATCATACATTTTCTGACAATATTCAGCATTGATTTTCATTTTAATGCACCTCGTCAATCTGCCCTGGCCCTGGCCCTGGCCTATCAGTAGATTTAGACCAGACCAGGGCTAAAGGCCTTGTCACTCTTCTATGGGGATGTATCTATGTTTTTTTAATTATATATTCTGTAGAACCTATTTATCTTGTTATTGTAGAATTATTTAATAAATGCATGAAAACATTTTTTATTTTTCTAATGTAATTTACTAGAAGTCACCCGTGACTGCCCGCGCGGTAAAAAAAAAATTAGTAACCTGTGTTCTTCCAGACTGTACTATATTTATGTCGAATTTCATCAAAATACATTGAATCCAGAGATATCTAACAAACATCCATCCATACATTCGCATTTATAATATTAATAAAGTATCCTGACAGGGCACAGCGACTGGAAAGTACCACGCGGCGATAGTATCAAACTGTGGAGGTTTAGAACGTCGCTGTGTGGTGGCGGGGCTGCGCTGCGGCGAGCTGACACATCCTCTGCCGTACGCACCAGAGCTGCACTTCCCGGAGTTCACCAGCGTTGTTGCTGATATGAAGAATAGTGTCGCGGTATGTTATACCATCAATCTTTATCCTTAAGGAGGTTGACACAGTACATGCATCTGTATCAGCCGTCATGTCTGAATATACCTTCTTATGCATATCCTCTCGCGTCATAGTAAGAGATCGAGGATATCTGAACTGGGTATAAGTTAAATTATGACAGCTCAGTAGCGCCCCCATGTCAACTTCAAAAAATGTCATAAAATGACATTTTCTGTACCTAAACAGGTTTTATATATATTCTGACTAAACCAACGATAGAAGCGCCTCTGATCAGTTCAGATATCCTTGTTTGATATGTGACTGTATAGTCTCGTCTCAGAAACCTTCACTAATGTATGTATACAGGATCGTAACAACGCGCAGCCATCCTGCGCTGGCCTGTTCGTGTTGTCGCACCTCGGCTTTGACTTCCGAGGAGGCTGGCTGCACATCGATATGGCTGCGCCTGCGCACTCGGTAACTATCCACCTCCCTCAAGGCACATACTCCAAAACCCACTTAACATAAAAATTTACTACTTGTAGTCAATCATTATAATACTTGCTGTTGCCCGCGTTTTCGTCTGCGTAGATTAAGAAAAACTTAGTAAGTATCCTATGTGTTCTTCCAGACTCTACCTTTGTGTCAAATTTCATCGAGATCCATGCAGCGGTTTTTAGATACCATCGAACAAACATCCATACATCAAAACATTCGCTTTTATAATATTAGTAATATTAACATTTCTATGTCAGGGTGAACGTGCTACTGGTTACGGTGTGGCGCTTCTCAACGTGTTGTTCGGTGCTCACTCCTCCAGCCGACTGCTGCGCGCTCTCGCACCACCCACGAAATGACGTCACACACCGCCCTCACCCCCAACACCTACCCCCTGGTGACGAATGTGACGTCACTGAATCCTCACCAACATCAGTAGTGACGTCATCACAGCATTATCATGCAAACCCTCCCTTAACAACTATGATAAACATGCACCCCTTAACTACCTTACACCATCCCCTACGAGCCCCTACCCTCTCATCCTTTAACTTTGGTTAGTTTCCATCATCCACAACGATCCCCCACTTCCTCATAATCATCCGTGATGTCATCAAAGCCATGACGTCATGCTGACAAACAACCCCCACATATAACAACCCTAAAACTTTGTCCAAATTAAGCATAAAGCAACCAGAAAATAAATCAAATCTCAAAAATTCAATATAAAAATTTGTACTTAAAAAAATCTGATAATTTTCAATAGATTTTGTATTTTTAGATTGAAAACAGAAAATATAGATATTAGAATTAAGTATACAGTGCCTCGTCTGATATATTTTTAATAATTTAATAACAATCATAATAAAATTAAATATTTAAGTACAATTAATTTGATAAAACACAAGTATTTTTTTAATTGGGGCTAATAAGTTTTGAAGGTAAAAAAGTAAAATGTAGGATTTTTATAGACGTAATTTGTAACCGAAATAAACATTTTTACTTAGTGAAATTATAATAGAAAAGTAAAAAAAATGCTGCCCTAAAGTATATCTAAGAAAATTATAGATTTTTTTTAAGAATTATTAAAGGTAGATTTTTTTACTAAAATTACTAAAAAGATAGACTAAGTTCACTACCATTACTTTAGTTTTATTATTCTAAAAATGACGTCTTTTTTAATTAAATTTTTAATTTTTTTTATAGTACAATTGTCCAAAATCAAGGCATAATCAATCTTTTAATATATTAATATGCATTTTTTCATTTTATTGTGCATTTTGACTTTTTTTTTTACATTCTTTTTACTGTTCTTTTTTTTTGATATACGAAAAACACGCGACCATGTGTTCAATAGAGCCAAATGTATTGTTTCGAGTTCATTTCTTTAGTATTTAAGTAAAAAATTGTAGCAATAATTTTGAATAGAAAGTGTTTCGGTATTTGCTATTTCTTGATTAAATGACATGTTGAGTAATTTGTGGTTTTTTTCCTAAGAATTCCAAAAAAACCTTTTTAATTTGATTCAGCTTTTTTAACTTTAATCTGTGGGAATTTTGTGGGAGATTGAAATAAAAAAACAAATAAATTTGGTTATTTGAGTTTATGGGTCGGTTCACCAATAATATTGAACAATTCAATGTATATAAAAGCAGATAAAATCCAAACTTTTTTTTTGTATACAATACAATGTAAAATTTCGACTTGGTCATCAAAATCTGAGTAGACAAAAAAATAAATGCACCTAGCTCGCCTTATACATGGCAACATTACAACTTTTTGGCAAAAACCTCGTAACAAAGATATATAGCGCCTTAACACGTAATTTTAGTAATAAAATTAATCCATAAATAAATTCTGTTCGACCTTACAATGTTAAAAAAATAAATTAACCTTCATAGTAAAAAGGTATTACTTTCGAATTATATTAACTATTATGACTGAAATATTAATGATATAAAAAGCACTACTTAGATAAAAATGCTTAAAAACAAAGCGCGTACAAATTACTTATTGCTCTACGCTGGCAGATGGCGCTATCGCCCGATATGTAGTACAAAATTATTTTAGCAACACTAATAAATCTGGAAAAGAGGCTACAATTTTTACATAATACACACGCTATTTCATGACTTTATAACAAATCAGTTGATTGAAAACATCGTAGTCGACTATAAAACATACGATCTTCAGAAATGAATAAGAAATTGTATTGTCTAAAATCGTTTTATTGCAAATGGTAAGGCGCAGACGATGTTCGATTGTGCAATTCATAAATCCCTGACTCCGGTGCCGTAGTTTGCGCCGCCCGCTCTGTTCAGCGCGTCCTTGAATTGATCGATGTCTATTTCAGCTTGGCTCTCCAACTGCAACTCCACTGCGAAATTCTGAAAAGAAACACGAGAAATAATAAAACAATTTTATTTATATCAAGAAAATAATGCACAAAACGAAACGTTTTAGTTAACGATTAAATGGTTGACAGTTGACAACTGTCATCTGTCACGCAAATTAAACGTTTTCAAAAGTAAACAATTTGAATTTGATGAAAGTAAATAATATAAAATGAAAGAATTACTAAACAAAGTGCCGTGTAGAGAAAAACAACTAAATACTTTATTAGATTTGTTCGGAGAATATGATGAACCGTTACCATATTCTATATTTATCAGCGGAAGTATGGCGACCGGTAAAACTTTATGTTTGACCAATGTACTGGATTATTTGCGTTATAAACACATAACCATCGATTGTATTGAATGTTATTCACCTAAAATCATCTTCGAGACAATACTTGCTGGCCTACAAGACGACGATGTCGAAACAAAATGTGAGACATTGTCTGACCTTACGAATTACATGAACAAGTTTGGTGACGATAAAATAACTTATGAACCTATCATTATCATTTTCGATCGAGCTGAAAGACTGAGGACAATGGATCAGACATTAATGTGTACATTTTTACGTCTGCGCGAATTTTGTAACCTAAATATTTGTACCGTTTTCGTAACGCATTTAGCTTACGACAACTTTTACTTTAAAATAGGCGCTCTAGAGCCGATTCAGATATTCTTTCCTAATTACACAAGAGATGAATTATTTAAGATTATTATTTTAAATCATAAAACATTTATAGATCAAATGTTAAGTCAACATAAAATAGAAGAGGACATATCAAATGAACTCGCTGAGAAACAATTATTTGCTAACTTTTTAAATGCATTTCTAACTGTATTCTACAGACCTTGTAGAGATTTAATAGAACTGCAGCACATGGCACAAATAAATTTCATCAAATACTGCGAACCAATAATTAGAGAAGAAATCAAAGCAAGTGATGTGGATAGACTTTGGCGTCACATAACTCCTGTACTAAAATCCAGTTTAGCGCACTTATATCTTAGAATCAGTGAAGGAAAACCTGTATCACCTAGTAAAGAAAACAAAACTGAGCTACATAAACTTTACAACTTTGAAAATTCATTAAAAGAGGAACTGATGTCTACAAAAACATTTGCACAAAGTTTCGAACTGCCTTATTATGCTAAATTTCTTCTAATAGCTGCATATCTAGCTAGCTATAACCCTCCAAAAGAAGACAAGCGTTTATTCATGAAGAATCATGGGAAACAACGAAAAAGATTACAACAGGTTAAAGCCAAAGCAAAAGTAACTGAGAAACTGACTACTCAACTTGGCCCTAAAGTTTTCACACTGGACAGACTGTTGGCAATATTCTATGCTATTCTAGAAGAGAAGATTGGTCTAACGAGTAACTTATTAGCTCAAATAGCAACACTTGTAGAGTTAAAATTAATTGCAGGAAGTAAGGAGATAGATTTAGACACAGCAAAGTACAAATGCATTGTGGGATACGATTTTATAAGTGCTGTCGCGCAAACTGTCGATTTTAATGTTAGCAAATATTTATATGACTTTATATAAATTAACTAAGCATTAAAACTATGAGAGGAAAATAAAAATTAATCTACAGTTTATTCAAAATCAAGCAGCCTGTACATTTTTAGAATATACCTTTATCATGTTTATTGTATATTTTCTTAATAAACATAGAAAAAAATGATGGCTTTAATTTTTACATACTTCCTATATACTATTACTTAAGATATGGATCACAATAGTCAAATGGGCACTATATCCAGTTAACATTATTCCAGTCCAGTGGTTGAAAAACTGGATTGTAAAGGAAATAATGTAAAAAACTTCACTGAAATATATTGTGTTAAGTTATACATTATTCCAATTTTAATCCAGCACCGATTTCAATCGCTGGACTGGAATTATGTGAACCGGACATTAGACTTTAAGGGCTTAAGTGTAGAGCTACGTGTATACTCACAGATATGATGTCTTTGACGATAGCCTTGTCGGTGGACATCTTGGCGCGGTTGATGACCGACACGTTGGGCCCCACCCACGCCACGAACATGAACTTACGCCGCTTCGACATCTCGTCGCCCATTTGCAACCTAAACGAATCGTAGTACCCTCATTTTAAATTACAGTTGAAAAGGCGAGAAAATTCTGTATGCGAGATGTACGCCAAATAATAGAATATACTTAATTAATTATTTCTAACTACCTCAACTCTTGACATCTCCCCCTCCCAGGTCATACCTACTATGACTTGAGGACAGGACACAAGGGTCCGACTTTCATGCCCTTTTGTTACCTGAGGTATCCGAAGGCGCGTTCATCGTCAGCGAATTGTTTGCGGAACTCGGTGAAGTCACTGCCGCGAGCAGAGCACACGATTCTGGAGCCTTCGAACTTGAACACCGCCCTAGCAACAAACACTAAAATTAGATCCCCTTTTCCCCTGGCACTACTAGTCGCGTGAATATTTTCCTGCGACGCACGTATTTAACGGTTTCGTTTTCTCCCGACTTACATACAAATAGGAACTAGTCAGTAGCTGCTAGTCTTGTAGTGGAATAGGGGTTTAATTCAACTCACCACTCAGTGGGCGTGCCATCGGAGCGCACGTCTTCGTAGGCTGCGCGTATCGTGTCCCGGTCGAGGCCGGTTGTCATGGCGACCTGGTGGGCAGGAGAAAAGACTTAATATTCCATTGATATTAATCAATAATTCATAATCCAAAAACTTTCGGCAATGTTCTAAAAGTACATCAGGTCAGGATTATTGATTTCAGAATTCTACTGGAAGATCTTTTGAAATTTGTCTTACTTTCTCATCAATGTGACAGTGATATGAAACATAGTACAAACTACCTTTGAGGAGGAAGAAACCTCAGAATGACAAGACTCGACATCCTGTACGTCATCACTGGGACAAGAAATGTCTTCCTTTCCCTCCTTTACGATAGCGTATAATTCGTCTATACGTTTCTTCAGAAGACAAACATCGCTTTTGATATTCCTTTTATCTGTAGATTTCTCCTCCAGTGAGCTAATTTTCTCGGAAAATTGAGATACGATACTACGTAACTCCTCCATATTTTGATTGAGAACTTCGAATTTTGTTAAAATATTGTTTTGGTTATTGGATAATTTTGCGATATGATCTTTGAGTGTTTGAAAATTACCCTCCACATGGTCAGACTGGCCATTCGTACTCATATTTGTTATATTTCACGGAAATCTTAGAATAAATTAAACTTTGTACATGATTCAAAGAATACTTTAGAATTCAGAGGTTTTAAGACACAATCTATTTTATTTCATTGTTGATTTTGACGTTTATTACTTTTTTTTATATTATAGTGTCAAAATCTTGCCAGATTTTGATGGATGAGGTCGTCAAGGCGTAGGTTGTATGTCTACAGAGTAATGAAAAATGTTTTAAGTGAATCTTTTTACTTGCACCATGACATTTAATATTTAAGAGCTTTAACGGTATAAAACTTTGCCTACCCTTTTAGCATTGTAAGGCGTGACGTGACGCCTCTTTTGTGCCTAAAACGTTAGCCTTGAGCCTATTTAAAAAAATAATGTTTATATTTGTTTTGGGAGTGAGAACCATAAAAGACAAATCAATAAAACATTTGTTTGTTGTTGAGATCCAAAGCAGTTTATTTGTTTTCTACTCTACATGAAAGGAATGCAAATAAGCTGAACAGTCGCCTCCCCGTGAAGTGGAGAGTGGACTGATGGAAGTCATTACAACACGCCGCCGCGAAGACGGAGCACCAAGTGCAGAGTAGACTCCTTCTGGATGTTGTAGTCCGAGAGTGTACGGCCATCCTCCAACTGTTTGCCGGCGAAGATAAGACGTTGCTGGTCTGGGGGGATACCTTCCTTGTCTTGGATTTTGGCTTTAACATTCTCGATGGTGTCCGAAGGCTCCACCTCCAAGGTGATGGTCTTGCCTGTCAAGGTCTTGACGAAGATCTGCATACCACCACGGAGGCGAAGTACCAAGTGAAGTGTGGACTCCTTTTGGATGTTGTAGTCCGAGAGTGTACGGCCATCCTCCAACTGTTTGCCGGCGAAGATGAGACGTTGCTGGTCTGGGGGGATACCTTCCTTGTCTTGGATCTTGGCTTTAACATTCTCGATGGTGTCGGAGGGTTCCACTTCGAGAGTGATGGTCTTTCCCGTTAAGGTCTTAACGAAGATCTGCATACCACCACGGAGACGCAGTACCAAGTGGAGGGTGGACTCTTTTTGGATGTTGTAGTCAGAGAGTGTACGTCCATCCTCTAGCTGTTTGCCGGCGAAGATCAATCTCTGCTGGTCTGGGGGGATGCCTTCCTTATCTTGGATCTTGGCCTTAACATTCTCGATGGTGTCAGAAGGTTCGACTTCTAAGGTAATGGTTTTGCCAGTCAAGGTCTTGACAAAGATCTGCATACCACCTCGCAGACGTAGTACCAAGTGGAGTGTGGATTCCTTCTGAATGTTGTAATCGGAGAGTGTACGACCATCTTCTAGCTGTTTGCCGGCGAAGATGAGACGTTGCTGGTCTGGAGGGATACCTTCCTTGTCTTGAATTTTGGCTTTAACATTCTCAATGGTGTCTGAGGGTTCCACCTCAAGGGTGATGGTCTTGCCAGTCAAGGTCTTCACAAAGATCTGCATACCACCTCGCAGACGTAACACCAAGTGGAGGGTGGACTCTTTTTGGATATTATAATCGGAGAGTGTACGACCATCTTCTAGCTGTTTGCCGGCGAAGATGAGACGTTGCTGGTCTGGGGGGATACCTTCCTTGTCTTGGATCTTGGCTTTAACATTCTCGATGGTGTCGGAGGGTTCCACTTCGAGAGTGATGGTCTTTCCCGTTAAGGTCTTAACAAAGATCTGCATACCACCACGGAGACGCAGTACCAAGTGGAGGGTGGACTCTTTTTGGATGTTGTAGTCAGAGAGTGTACGTCCATCCTCTAGCTGTTTGCCGGCGAAGATCAATCTCTGCTGGTCTGGGGGGATACCTTCCTTGTCTTGGATCTTGGCCTTAACATTCTCGATGGTGTCAGAAGGTTCGACTTCTAAGGTAATGGTTTTGCCAGTCAAGGTCTTGACAAAGATCTGCATACCACCTCGCAAACGTAGTACCAAGTGGAGTGTGGATTCCTTCTGAATGTTGTAATCGGAGAGTGTACGACCATCTTCTAGCTGTTTGCCGGCGAAGATGAGACGTTGCTGGTCTGGGGGGATACCTTCCTTGTCTTGGATCTTGGCTTTAACATTCTCGATGGTGTCAGAGGGTTCCACCTCGAGGGTGATGGTCTTTCCTGTTAAGGTCTTCACAAAGATCTGCATTCCACCTCGCAGACGCAATACCAAGTGGAGTGTGGATTCCTTCTGAATGTTGTAATCAGAGAGTGTACGTCCATCCTCCAACTGTTTACCGGCAAAGATGAGACGTTGCTGGTCTGGGGGGATACCTTCCTTATCTTGGATCTTGGCTTTAACATTCTCAATGGTATCTGAAGGTTCAACCTCCAATGTGATGGTCTTGCCAGTCAAGGTCTTAACAAAAATTTGCATGCCTCCTCTCAAACGAAGCACCAAGTGTAGTGTCGATTCCTTTTGGATATTGTAGTCCGAAAGTGTGCGACCATCTTCGAGCTGCTTACCCGCAAAGATAAGACGTTGCTGATCTGGGGGAATGCCTTCCTTGTCTTGAATTTTGGCTTTTACATTTTCAATTGTGTCCGAGGGTTCAACCTCTAATGTGATGGTTTTGCCTGTCAAGGTCTTCACAAAAATCTGCATACCACCACGCAGACGGAGTACCAAGTGAAGTGTGGATTCCTTCTGGATGTTGTAGTCAGACAATGTTCGTCCGTCTTCCAGCTGCTTGCCGGCAAAGATCAATCTCTGCTGGTCTGGGGGGATGCCTTCCTTGTCTTGGATTTTTGCTTTGACATTTTCAATTGTGTCAGAGGGTTCCACTTCTAATGTGATGGTTTTGCCAGTCAAGGTCTTGACAAAGATCTGCATACCACCACGCAGACGGAGTACCAAGTGAAGTGTGGATTCCTTCTGGATGTTGTAGTCAGACAATGTTCGCCCGTCTTCCAGCTGTTTGCCGGCAAAGATCAATCTCTGCTGGTCTGGGGGGATGCCTTCCTTGTCTTGGATTTTTGCTTTGACATTTTCAATTGTGTCAGAGGGTTCCACTTCTAATGTGATGGTTTTGCCAGTCAAGGTCTTGACAAAGATCTGCATACCACCACGCAGACGGAGTACCAAGTGAAGTGTGGATTCCTTCTGGATGTTGTAGTCAGACAATGTGCGTCCATCTTCCAGCTGTTTGCCGGCAAAGATCAATCTCTGCTGGTCTGGGGGGATGCCCTCTTTGTCTTGAATCTTGGCCTTAACATTTTCAATTGTGTCCGAAGGCTCCACCTCCAAGGTGATGGTCTTGCCCGTCAAGGTCTTCACAAAAATCTGCATCTTGTAATTGTAATCTGTAAACAATTGATGAATACATTTAATATTTTGACTTATAAAATTTGTTTACTATAATAGAACAAAGAACAATGGATGAATAGTTCTTTATAATTATTGAAGTTATAAGCAAAGCTATTGTTTAGCTAATATTGGATGACTATCAACGAAATATAAATAAATATTAAACAATCAAAATGAATAACAGGAAGAAATGGAAGTAATTTGGGTTACAATTGCATCATTGAAAAATTCTTTTTTCTCATATTTGAAAGTTGTAGAATCATTTCTACCAGATCGAATTTATGTTAAAATATTTTCTTTACCTATATCAAACGTTATAATCTAAATACTGCTGTGTAAAATGCAAACAATGACTTTCAATAATACAAAACGAACAAAAGAAAGATGGCGGATCAAGTGAGGTTCATATGTCGTATATCGTAAAAATCTGGCAAATCCTAGAAATTATTAAATTAATATCCGTGATTACCTAATCAATTACATACCTTGAATTCAAAATATGAAGAATTTGAATTCAATTACTAATACTTTACCAGAAAAAATTATGATTCAAGACAAAGAAATGAGATATAAAGAAATTAAGAGTGACTAACATTGGATTTTATTAGATTATAGTACGATATTTGCTTTTACATTTCGAAATTTACTCTGAAACAAAGGCTTGTTTCATCAGAAAAAAGTAATCAATACCTTGAACCACGTCAAACAAGATGGCGCACGATGAATCTAAATGCGCAATAACAAAATGTAACCCAAATTACTTCAATACTAGTAAAATACATCAGGACTTACCTTTTCACTAGAATTTATCCAATAACTAAAATTTCTAAATAATAATCAGCAACTTTTTAAAAATTATACAATGATCACACACGATGTCTGTCACACGTCTTGTTCCTTTTTCAATTCTCTCGTAAATGCAAGTGCGGGAGGAGGGCGAACGTTTTTATACAGCACAAAAATGCGTCGATCAATACGTTGTCCGACACGACGAACCCCGACCGAAGCCGATGATCTCTAACCTCTCTCGCTCGATCACAAGCAAAATGAGCGAGACAGTAAGATTGGAACGTTCTAGATCGAACACGAAGTTCTCCTTTGTGACGCACTGTGGAAGTACATAACTACAGTGTTCATGAAACGAAAACAAAATATAACATTTTTATATTGTTTTTTTAATGTAATAAATCACGTAAGATTAAAGATAACGTTTATTCAAATGTAATTCATTAATTGCAGATTCAGTTTTATTAAATTATATTAGCGTATAAAGAATAACTTCTAAATTATTATGCCTATTTAAGTAGTAATCTAATTAGGTGATACAATTAGAACATATTAATCATATTATATACATGTTACATGTTTATATTTAAAGTAGACATATAAGAAACGATGTAAGTCCAAGTTTTACGTAACGTAAATCAATAAAACCTTTTTACTAACATCTGCATACAGTATATCGAGATAAATAAAACACACTTGTAATACCAGTATCTTTGTTCAAATACATACATGAAAATACAAACAATTAGCTAAAATAGATTTTTTTAAGTTATTGGTAAATTTCGAAATTCAAGAATTCTAACGATATTTAGGTACTTAACGGTACCTACGACAATTTTTCGGTTAAAATAACAGCAAATTTAGTCCATCCAATTAGTCCAATGAGGTCAAATAATTTTACCGTTTAATTCAGAAAAATAGCACATAAAGTTCGATTTATTAATAATTTCATCATAACAATTTACTTATTGCATCATATAGGATTTTAATATGGATGAGTCATAGATTTTACTTCTCCGTAAAATAGGTTATAGTTAGGTTTAAATAGAAATTTGTTTTTAACCCAATTTTCTATGTATAGTTAACACTATTGAGTTTAGGAAGCTATTTTCTAGAACCTGTGAGATAATTGATTTGCTTTGTATAATACGACAGCGACAGTCTTATTACTATGCATCTTATTATTATAAATGCGAAAGTTTAGATGGATGTTTGTTAGAAGGTTCCTCCAGAACGGCTGCATAAATTTGGATGAAATTTTATAGATGTAAAATAGTATCTAAACAAAGACAATAAGGTTTTTTAATTTCGCGCAGACAGAGTCGCAGCAAAATCTATTAAAAGATAAATACATTGGAAATGTTTTTGCATGTGCGAAGACGGAACATTCACCTTCCCGGTATTATGGAGGTCATAGACATTATTTCTAAAAATGAATTCTGTAGCGAAACGGGTTCATTCAGAGACAAAGGACTTTGTTTTCTTGTTTTTTTTTTGTGAGATTTTATGGCTTAGATTCCTGCTATTAGTTTATGCCATCTGTCTTATAAAGGTGAAATAAAATATAAAAACTTATTAAAAGTTGTTATTTTAAAGTAATTTGCATGATAAAGACTTATTTATCTATGTATATTAGATTTAATGGTCATCTTAACAGATAAACATAGACGTGAATTGATAAATAAAATTAGTAGGAAAACAAAAATATAAATTTTTTGCATATTTGTTATGATTTAGACACAAATTATCGGGCGATCAGTTTGCTGGCAAATGAAAAACATTAAAGATATTTGTATTTATATCTAGAAAGTTTAAAAGCAGATAAAATATAGGTACTTTATAGCTACCCGTCTACGATAAGAACACTTGAATCCTGCAATACGTTTATAAAAATATTAATATTATAAATGTAAATGTTTGGATCGATGTATGGTAGACGATATCATCAGAAAAGGTCAACAGACCTCGATGACATATATGTAGAACATAGTCTGTAAGAACACATAGGCTACTAAGTATTTTTTTCCACACGGACGAAGTCGCGGACGACCGCTAGCTGTAATTAAACCTAACAAGAGAAGAGATTGAATATGGATGGCTACAAAAGTAGAGGAAGACTGATATATGTATGTATGGATTGTGTGAAAGAGTGAATTCAAATATGACAGCTGATAGAGATGTATGGAATAATATTATATGTGAAGATATAAACTCAACAAAATGAAATATTCTTATATCGTTTCAATATGACACGTTATTTATTTATACGAGTTCACAATGGATCGTTATTTCGTAGGTAACGCGCAGTTCCAATATGCACAGTAACATTTCTCAGAGATAGGAAAATAATATGTTTCTCGTACGAAAACAACACTTTTTTCTGTTCAATTTTACACAACAAACGTAGTTTCTTTGTAAACGATGACTAATCGTTTGTTCCCGAGACCAACGGCATGATCACCTGATGTCTGATGGTTATTTTGTTGTTTAAAATTGTGATTTACATTAAATTAACTTTCGCTTAAAAAGTGGAAAGAAGGGTGAAGTACGCAAACAGATATCAGAGTTAAGTAAAAAGATTAGTGCACAGCTCAGAAAGGATAGGAAAATAAAAAGAACAAATACTTTGAAACAACACATAATAAGAACAGGAGGTGTAAGGAAGGGATATAAGGAATTAGACAACAAGAAAGAATGGATGGCGAGTGCAAACACTAATAACGGAACATATACCACTAAGAGATTAGAAATATTAAAAGTCGCCACTGATTACTACAAGAATTTGTATAAGACTCGAAACCCCGTTTTAATAACAACAGAACTAAACATAACAGCGGAAGATGACGAACCAACACCAAAAATAATGAAGGAAGAAACTATAAGAGCTATTCAATCTCAAAAACTTGACAAAGCACCGGGATCGGACCAAATTACTAATGAAATTTTGAAAGCAACAATATCAGCAACCGCCGGAAGATTAACTGAAATTTTTAATGAAATTCTAAATCTAGAGACTGTGCCTGATGATTGGACTAAATCAGTAATAGTACTAATACATAAAAAAGGTAGTAAAGGGGATATCGCGAATTACAGACCAATAAGTTTAATGACCAATATTTATAAAATCTTTTCCAAAATATTACTTTCACGAATTGTTGCAGTACTTGATGACAATCAACCAAAACAACAAGCCGGCTTCCGCAGCAAATTCTCTACCATAGACCACATCCATGTGTTAAGACAGATTCTTCAAAAATACAGAGAATATAACAAAGTCTACTACTTAGGTTTTGTCGATTTCAACAAAGCATTCGATACATTAGAACACAAATATATATGGGAAGCACTAGGTCGTCAAGGCGTTCAGGCGAAATACATAAGAATAATTAAAAACATATACGCTAAGAGCACGGCACGAGTACGAATGGAGTCCCTAGGCGAAGAATTTCCGATCGGAAGAGGAGTTCGGCAGGGGGACCCTATATCCCCTAAACTGTTCTCAGCAGTATTAGAAATGATATTCAGAAACTTAGAATGGTCTTCATACGGCCTTAATATAAATGGAGAGAATCTTAATCATCTTCGCTTTGCAGATGATCTAATTTTGTTTTCCGAATGCCCCAATACCCTACAAAAAATGCTACAACAATTATCAGATCAAAGCGCATTAGCAGGCCTTACAATGAATATCTCAAAAACTAAAGTAATGAGTAACACGACTGTAGCATTCGTTGTGCTATATTTGGCTCGTTCACGTACCGACACGTGTTGCCGGCTCAAAGGTCTGACATCGACTGACGTCCCCTCTCTCCGGCATGTACTTATGGCGTGTACGCTCGAGACAAACAACACTACGTTTACGCATACACTACAACGACGAAAAACTTTGTAATCAAAATTAATAATCAAGAAATAAAAAAAGTCAAAGAATACGTATATTTAGGACAACTAATTTCAGTTGAAAATTTAATGCAAAAGGAAATAGAGAGAAGGGTTGCTAACACTTGGAAGAAATTCTGGTCGCTCAGTGAAATCATGAAAAACAAAGATATGCCTATTAAGGAAAAAAGAAAAGTATTTAATGTATGTATACTACCCTGTTTGACTTATGGCTGCCAAACATGGGCATTGACAGAACAACTACAAAATAAACTAATAATTTGCCAGAATAGAATAGAACGAAGCGTAGTGGGAGCAAGAAGAAAAGATAAAATGCCATTAAAAGAAATAAGGAAGAAAACTAAATTTAAAAACACTCTCGCAACTACTAGGAAATTAAAGTGGAGATGGACAGGTCATATGCTTCGAGAAAAAAAGGAAAAATGGACTAAAGATATTACTGAGTGGTACCCACGGGAAAGTAAAAGAAACAGGGGAAGACAATATAAAAGATGGGAGGATGATTTTAAAAAAGTTGCAGGCCCAGAGTGGACCCGCATAGCAAAAGATAGAGAGAAGTGGAGAACATTAGAGGAGGCCTTTGTCGAAAGACAAGCTGTTTTGCGAGGTCGGGAGCATCCGCTTGCCGATGAGTAGATTACATTGCAAGAGAACTGCAGGACGGTTAGATGTGATTTTATGATTAGTGATTAATATTGTATAACTTTTGTTTTCTAATCTATCATTCTGATCTTGCATTTTCATTGTAAATTCCAAAATTATTGTATTATTTAGAACAGCAATAAAGGCTTATTTTATTTTATTTTATTTTATTTTATTTTATTTTATTTTATTTTATTTTATTTTATTTTATTTTATTTTATTTTATTTTATAACTTTCGCTTGCGATTCCGTCTGCTGGGAATTAAAAATAACATAATTATTATCCTATGTGTTCTGCCAGACTATGTTCTATCATATATGCAAAATTTCAGTGACATACATGCAGCAGTTCTGGAGATATATTCCAACAAACATCCATCTAAGCATTCACATTTATAATATTAGTAAGATTACTATGAAATAACGTGTAATATCATATTCGATTATTACACAATTCATTGAAATATGGGAGATAATAGACCTAAAAAAAAACTTCTTCGCATGACAGACTTATCGACTAAAGTGGGGCAGTATTCTCATATGAATTACTTCTTAAATTTAAAAACTACTGGAAAAGTTTATATGCCATTTAATCCAAAATACAAGTCATTAAT